GTGATCTTTATCCATATTATTTAGTTACATTACTGCCATAATTTTGGGATCTAGTAAATGATATTCCTGGTAATTTAATTTGAGAACTTTTTCATTGGCTTCCCTGAACTACAGGAAAAGTGATGAGAGTATTACACTTGAAAATCAGATAAACTCAAAATTGAATTTGGAGGGGGGGGGGGAGGGGGGCAAAAGGATTAATATCATAAATACATTCTAAATATCCTGCAAAATGCCTTATAATCAATGAGCTTCATATAAATTGATCATCTTAGGCATGATAAAGAAGAATTTACACAAATAATTTACCCGCTGAATATATTTTTCACATTGACCCCCACCCTCTGTTTAAGCAGGAGTAGGGTTATTTTAAATATTTCTCTCCATATCTATTTGACATATCACTGTCATACTTTATGGATCTATCAAATGATATTTAAGCACTGTTGTTGAATTTTTTCATTGGGTTTGATGCACTACAATAAAAACTAATGAGAGAAAACTCCTGAAACTAAATATATTCAACATTGAATTGGAGTGGGGGGGGGGGGGGGGCAGTAAAAGGCTTAAAATCACATATTAATATCTTGAAAATATCTAATAAATAGCAAATGTCAATATCAATGGACCATGATAAAAGAGAGTTTGCACAATATTAGGCAGAATATTTCAGATGGTGATACAAGTATAAACTTTGGTTTTTCTGCTTCTTAAAACCTTTTTCAAAAAATCTGTCCCTGTGATCGACGGAATATTTCACTCCTTCCCCCCAAAATCCAAGATGGCCGACAAAGTATGACTTAAATAACATGTTGGGTGGGCAAAATATTTTTTTTGTTGGAAAATTCATGCTCTCATGGTGAAATGTTGTTCTTTAAGATGAAAATAGTCATGTGAATTTTTTTCAAATTTTTAAACTGAATTTTAGCCCTCTCCCATGGCCCCAAAGTGTGACGATTTGGCGTAAAATGGGAAATAATGTTCATTTTCTAGGTTCAAATAAAGAATGCAATGACAAATAACATTAATTATTATTTAAAAAACATCTAATAACTTTGCCTGATAATACAATATGAAGATTTCAATTATTGAAAAATTGGAAGTATTTTTTAAAAAGCGTTGAAAGTGCCCTACCCCATATTATTGGAAAAGGAAGTTGTGGTCAATTTTATCATTCTGTAGGATTAAGTTAGAAACGTGTATCAACAGAAAACAAATAAGTACATTCAGACCATCTTCAAAGGTAACTGGATATTATAATATGATTATTATAACTATATAGAACACAACATATTTTATATATGTGTATGATTATATGTTTATGTAGTACATGTATCACTATGTAATGTAATGTAATCATAAAATAGAGAGGTTGCAATGATTTCATCAGAGTATGATTAGACATGTTTATCTCTATGTTTAGAGATGTAGTATACAACATACACACATAACACATAATACTGTTATGAACTCAAGTCAAAATAAATAATTAGGAGTTAAGCAAGGTTCATTCCTGACACCCTTCTTATTTTGTATACTCACAAATTGGTACAATGGATACTCTATTTAATTTAATGAATTTAACATCATTGGTACTACTGTTCTATAATTAGGAATATACATTCACTAATTTACGACAAAATCAGTTTTTATAAGTCATTATTACATAGGAGCCATTTAAGGTTCACTTTTGACACCCTTCTTATTCTTTACACTTACAAATGCACTAATTTACAACAAAATCAATTTGTGTAAATTGCCAAAACAATTGAAGTTGCCAAAACAATTGAACATTGAGTACTGAATGAGTTTTGCAGATTTATCAATGTATTTACCATGTTTTACAACTACAACACAGAATGGCTATTTTAGTGTCATTTGTCATCAATCCATGAAAATGTGATACTAGTATGCTGGATGTGGGTTACCATTTCTCATTTTAAATTCATTGCACTCCTTGTGGCTCCCTTCAGAAGGATGTTCATAGCTGCCATGAATAGTAATATGCAGCCTGCCATGATTCCCTTCTCTAAAGGCTGCCAACCAGTGGTGATTGTTTCAGTCAATAATCTCAACTGAATACCTTCAAGGTGCTCTATCTCAAGGCCAATCACATGTTGAGGAACATTATAATGCTTCAAAGCTGTTGAGTTCATTTGTGTGGCACCCTGTTGCCTTAGTTATATCAAGCCATACAATTGGCACGTTGGTTTTGTGTTGCTTTGTTTCTGCTATTAGCTGTGTTATAGCTGCAACATCACATGGCCTTTACTGTTGACCCCACTGTAGACAACTCGTCATGGGGCTCTAAACCCAGCAAGTCTCTAGACATGTTTAGTTTGCTTTTGTAAAAAATCTGTACTTAAATGTACAGTATTGTGCAATTCCACATGTAATGCTGTATAATTGATAAGTTTTTGTCTACCTGCCCTTATTTCATCATACTATTAAGAGATTGTGATAATAATAGACTAAGGTAGAACCTTGGAAGACTACTTCAATGTTTGCATTGATACTTAGTTGACAATATTCTCATTCAAACTTGAAATATATTCTTGAATTATGTCTTAGATACTTGTATTAAATGTATTAGAGAATGTTATAAAGTAATTCAAGTTCTAACAGTGAGGGCCAAAATAGAACCTTGAAGAACTCCTATAAAACTCTTTATGCCAAAATTCAAATCAAAGAAGATCATAGTATTTCTAAATATATTTGCATGTCTTAGTACTGAGTGAACCTATTTTTTAACCATATTATCTCTATGTATGAATCTAAGGTGTCATTTTTACCGAATTATGTACATATTTCGACAACCTTAAATTTTTTACTGAAATAGTATTAGGTTTGGCTGATTTGAGGGATGGAATTTTCTTATTTGCATAAATAACTGACTAGCCCATAAATTTGCATGTATCACAATTTTAAATATTTTCCACCGAATTCCAAGAGATTGTGATAATAATGGAGTGTAGTAGAACCTTGCGGGACTCCTTCAAAGTCTCCTTGGTACTTGTAAGACAGTGTTTTTATGTAAACTTGAAATATTAGATTGAATCATTTGTGAAATATCAACATTTTTCAAGAAAACAAGTTTAATGACTAAAGTTGTTGCAAAATAAGAGTGCTCCCAAAATAGAACCTTGTAGAATCCCTATATAAAGTCATTTTGCCCAAATTCAGCTCATTAATGAATGAAACTGTATTTCTAGATATAATGTACATGCTTTACTACTGAATCAATATAATTTTAAACCAAATTTATCTCTATATATGAATCTAGAGTGTCATTTGTACCGAATTACACATTTACGGCAGCCATCTTGAATTTTTTCCTGAAATAGTGTTCAGTTTGATCGATCACAGGGACAAAATTTTTCCAAATAGTTTAAATAACAGATTAAGCCAATAAATTTGCTTGTATCACCATTTGAAATATTTTCCACTAAATTCCCCCCACTATTTAGCAATGTTGTGGAATTCTTTCATTTGCATCAATACAATACAAAAAAAACTATGAGGGAATTTCTTGGAATAAGATAATACTAAAGATGGGATGGGATATTAGTAAAAAAGCTTAAAATCACAAATAGGTTCCAAATAACCTGCAAAATGTCTAATAAATAGTAAATTGTATGTTCATCAACCATTTTAGTCATGTTAAAAAAGAGTGAGCACAAATTATATTCTCACAAAATATTTTTTCATATTTCCCCCCTTCCACTATGTTGAAGAAGTGGTGGGGTTGTTATAATTTTTTTTCTTGTTATTGATTAGACACATCTCTGTCATACATTCAGGATTTGTCCAAACGATATTTGAATTTATTCATAGACGTCGGTGCACTCGAAAAACAGTTATGAGAAAATACTTTTGAAATTAGGTATATTCAACATTGAATTGGGGGATAGTAAAAGGCTTAAAATCATAAATCAATTCAAAATATCATGCAAAATGCTAATAAATAGCGAATTTTAAATCAATTTACTATACTAGGCATGATAAAAAGGAGTTTGCACAAATTATGTACTTTGAAAATATTTTTTCAAAATGACCCCCTACCCTCAGTTGAAGAAGGGGTGAGGTTCTTGTGATTATTTTTCTTCACAATTATTTGACAAATTACTGCCATACTTTCTGGATCTATAAAATGATACATGAGCAATGTTGTTGAATTTTTTTCCATTGGTATCAATGTCATACAAAATAAGCTATGAGTAAATATTCTTGTTAATAGGTAAACACAACATTGAATTGGGGGTTAGTAAAACGCTTAAAATCACAAATAAATTTAAAATATTCTGCAAAATGTCTTATGTATAGTGAACTTCATACTAATTTACCATCTTAAGCAGGATAAAAAATAATTTGCATAAATAATGTACTCACAAATTTCTTTTTTCATATTGACCCCTACCCCACTGTTCAAGAAGGGGTAGGGTGGTTGGGATTTTTTCTCTCCATATTAATAGGACACATCACTGTCATACTTTCAGACTCTCTCAAATGATACTTGAGCAAGGTTGACAATTTTTTTCATAGCCATAAATGCGCTTCAACAAAAGTTATGAGGGAATATTCTTGAAATTAGATATACTCAAAATTGATTTGAGGATAGTAAAATGCTTAAAATCACAAATTAATTCAAAATATCCTGCAAAATGCCTAATAAATGGTGTCTTCATATTAATTGACCATCTTGGGCATAGTTATGAGTAATAACTTGTGCCCACAAATTTTTTTCTTTTAGCCCCCCCCCCCAAAATAATTTGGGAGAGGGGGTCTACCCTCATTTTCTCTTGTAATACCTACGCTTCAACTTGCTCGGGCAGTTAAAATTTATTGCAATTTAATGTTGTTTCATCATACAAAGATTCACGATTTCTGCAGAACAACGAACAAAATGATACTTTTGGACGACGAAGATCTTGTACTATAGCAAGTGGACTACTTTTTTAAATGTCCGGTCCAGTCGACCAACTGCCCATATACATATTTACCTTTTATTGAGAGCCACATCATTGATAAAGCAGTTTGTGATGAATTGAGGTAAAGTGTTATGGGGTACACCCCTCGGTAGATCTCCTTCCCAAAATTGCTTTCAAACGTTTGCAAGGGGATGACAGAACATCTCTCCATCCTAGAATCTCGAATCACTATGTTTTTATCCCCATTGATAACACGAGATCTTATCAAAGTGACTATAGTGGTAGAGTCAGTAGGCCCATATATATTACAAATATGATTATCAACGTTGCTCAGTGTTATATGTGGATATGCCTTATTTAATATTTGGATTTCATGAAAACTAGAAATGGTTTTATTTTCCCCGAGTCTTGCTATAGCATCAGCTGAAAATAAGAACGAAAGAAAACTGTTAACTGTAATAATAAACGAAAGGGGGATTTTCGCAAAATGAACTGATTGGGGAAGTCTAATTTTGGTAAATTGTCAGAGATGACATTTTACCAGAAAATATCTAGAATTTAGCAAGTATTCTATTCTATTCTGATCAAGGATAGGCTGTGAAATGGAGGGGGACGGGCACCCATTATGAAAACCCTGTGCACATTACATGTGTATACTGCATGGTTATACATACACTTTAAAACGTACAGATAACGGCCATTCAATACACATTCAACATAAAAATATTACCTGCTATACATTCATATTTAAGATGAATGTATTTATTTTGTACAAGATTTTTGTCATAGCAAGTGCTCTCGAAGTCAGGGACTGTTGCACTTTCATCAAACCTCGAAGCATCAAGTCCTACAAATCTGTAGAAATCAAACGTATGTTCAGCATCGTTACAGTCGTTTGCTCCAATTAGACCACATGACGACGCAGGATTTCTTTGATTTGCTCCTTGGATAAGCGATTCCAGTTTGATAATTCCACCACCCTGGCACCCGCCTGTTATTCCCTTGACACCAGGACACGTTTTTATTTCTCTAAACGCTAAAATGTTAGATTCAACTTAATATAAGAAATATAAGTTATTGAATGATTTGAAATTCTGAATTTGCACGACACGAAGTCAATACAGAATACAGAGAGCACAATACAGTATATCCTAGATTGCACTTCAAATCATTCTATAACGGTTCTACATTTTACTTAGGAAATGATCCCTAGGAAATATTCTGTATTTTCTGTATTGCTACTGAGATTGTCAACTCCGTGCCAATATTTTCTGTATTGCTACGAAGATGATCAATGGGAACAATCTCAGTAGCAATAAAGATTGGTACAGCACAAAAACTGACCAGAGCATGAGCAACATTACCAATGAAGCAACTCGCAGTATCACGAGGTCTAGTTTGCGTCCGTGTAATTGCAATCTGACAAATAAGAAATAGTCTATGGTATGAAATTCCGAGGACGCCTAATTAAGGAGCTGGTAACACAATATATTGCAGCGATACATTTGACCTAATATTAACATAATTATACATGTCAAGTATAGTTTTTTATTACAGACGTTCAATATTCTTGGGGCGTTTGGGCTGAATTGTGCGTGTCATTAGCAGGGGTCAAAAATATTAGTAAAAACTAAGTACCTCTTTTTACAATTTGGAGTACATACTGCTACAGAAAACTATATGAAATAAATTTTGAGTGTATGTTTTAGGTTTTTCAACTATAAATTTGATGTTACTTTTCTTAGAAATAGCCAAAATTACATTATCAGCACATCAACATTTTGAATTATTTTTTCAATATTGGTGATGTAAATGGTATCAATGAATCGTTTTTATATGAGAAAGAATGAAATATGCTGAAATTATTGTAGTTTTTCGAAAAAATGGGTCTTAATACGTTTTGAGATATGGACTGTCACCGCCAGGGGTCAACTATCAATAAAGGGGGACGTAGGCCTATTGTTCTTCAATGACTTACTGTTACTTCGGCTAAAACTATTTCCCCCCGATTAGATATTGCAAAGTTGTTTATAAAACAACCACCAATTAAGATCTGGTCGGATTCATGAAGCTTTGAGAAAAAATGGTTTTGATTTTCACAAAAAATCTGCTGATAACCAGTATAAGTTATTTATATAAGGGTTATGTACTGGGAGGGTTTGGATACAGGTTTTATCCCAAGGGAAATACCCTGTATCCAAAACCGACCGTACATAACAGATGTATTTCATACCTACTGATGTTCTAGGTACGTCATATACCTTATAAAGTTCCAAAAATCAAAAATATTTTAAGATACACATTTTCTTGGTGTTATAAAGTGTTTTTTAAGTTTCTGAGATTTTCAAACTCATATAACTCATAGTTTGAAAAAATTGAAAAGAATGTGAACATTTTTTTAAATAAAATGTGAAAAAATTTTGGAAAAAATTTTGGGAAAAAAATTTTGGGAAAAAAAATTTGAAAAAAATTCAAAAAAAAATTTGAAAAAATTGTGAAAAAAAATTCAGGAGCGGGACCGGGATGGATACATCATGTATCCATCCCGCCCCGGACCTTGGCTAGATACAGTGTATATTCCCGCTCGTTATGTACCTAGAACCTCAGTAGGTATGAAATACAAGAATGTATTACCATCAGAAAATCTTGTTATGCAGCAGTAACGTCGTAAGATAAATGTAAGGAGTTTGATTGCATATATCTCTTATAAACTATTAGACATGCTCTCTTAATATATAAACGTTCTAATACCTCTATAACATTCAAATAGATATATATTTTACGTATTTGTCATTGTTTTATGTTTTATAAAATTATTTCTTGTTTGACTTCTGGCGATGATAGGTATAAATTCTTTAAATAAAACTTTGAAAAAGTGAAAACATAATATATTTGAAATTATGATTCTTTTAGAATAATTCAAACAATTTTGCAGAATCTGCTTTACCAATATTTGAAAAAATAAACAAAATAAGCACATCTATAAAATTACACTAATTAACCACTAGAAATTACATTGAAATTAGAATTAGATTTGACACAATGATAACCTAATTTATTGTAAATATGCTTTCATTAATGTTTTGAGTCTAACCATATCAAGAATATCACGTCATTTGCTCATTAACATAAATTCTGACATATGACGTCACATATTATTGTCAATGGGAAATTACTATAGGAAAACTTTAAAAGTAGATAAAGTGTGTGATAATTACGAACTTGAATTTACTCGAAATGGCATATTATGCATGACACTATTATGAGTAAGACAGCGAAAAATTGAATTCCCAACGTTAAAAAATAAGCTTCCCCCAGAAAAAACGTGTTTTAAAATCACTTTGTATGGGGAGTGGTAGCGTGACGTCATAGTTTTAGCGAAAATATGGTAAAAATGGGCATATTCAACGTCTTTAACCTTTTTGTTAATATCAGAATTTACTCGAAATGATTATTGGAAGATCTTGATTGAACTTACGTAATAAAAAAAGATCAATACCAGGGCTTTAAAAAATAAGCTTCCCCCAGAAAATGAAAATGGGTCATTTATCAAATGGCCAATTATAATTCTATTCATTAACATAGCAGCCTTTGACGTGATTTGATAATCGAGATGTGACGTCATGTAATTATTCACATAAACAATCAAAAAAGCACGTGGTAAAATGACGTGATATTCTTGATATGCAAAACGTGTAAAAATTCGAATAAAAATATTTACGTTTTTGACCCCTTGTAATGAGAGGCATATTTCGACCAAAAAGCCCGACGTATGGACCTTCTTGAATATTGGTTCAAATGTTGCTGCACTATATTGTGTTACGGATTATTCATATTCCGGAATCAAACCGTGGACTAAAAGAACTACATGTACCACCTGCTGTGAAGCCCATCAAATGAAGTGATATTAGAATCCATATGTTCAAGAAATGTTCCATTTCTGAAGTGCGTCAAGCAGGTACTTTAGTCACCCTCATATACGTATTAAGGTTTACCCAGTTATGTATCTAAGCGCTGTAAAATATCACACGAACGCATAAAATGCGCAGTAAAATAGTTCTATAGGACCAGGAAGTATAACCAAACTATTCAGTCAAAATGTTTTTGATAGCTCATATTTGCTCTTTGAGAATGAATAATCAATATTTCATGTTTGAATCGAAATAACAGAAATAAATACAGACCTGTACCTGCACCTGTACATTTTGCCGAAGAGCATTTTAATATTTACCACGTCTTTCTCTTTTTTCAACTAGAAATCTGCCATTAGTTGTGACTCTGTCTCAGGTGGTACCAGCTAGTTTTATGACCCCAGTGCCCCAAATATGGTGAGATGAAATATTTCCATTAAGCTATCCATCATCTTTAGTCCGAAAAATTGCATGCATATCGATACCGCGCCGTGAACAATTTCAGCAAACCCGTGAGCTAAATGGAAGAATTTTGCAGACTGAAATTATGTGTTTGCGTTAAATGGGACTATAGATTACGACGATTAGCTACGTACATCGGAGTTTTTAAAACAAGTTGAGGATAAAATATCAATAAATAGTAGCTAAAATGATATAAATAATTGTAAATTATAGACTTTTTCGGATTGAGAGCTTTCATTGCTGGTAAAGGTGGATGTAACGAATACGTTCTTTCACAGATTTCTTCATTGTAGTGAGCAAAGTCGGATTTAAGTGAATCGTGACATCACAATCTCAAATTATAGCTTCACAACTTACTGCAACATACAATTTGCAAGATATGTGGCATTTGAATATATCTTAGTAAATTGCCTATTTTGGTATGTTACACACGATTCGTCTACTGTATATGAACCTAAGTATTTTTAACAAAAATACAATGTCCCGTTTTTATGGCTCACCCTGTAGATTGAATTATATGTGACATATATCTTAGTGGATGGTTCCAACATGATGGTGATTTTGTTGATCAGCGAATCAGTCTAAATTTTTACGAGGCCTGAGGTGTGCTTTCAAGTGAGTTTGTATGTGGTTGAGAATTAGGGATAAATGTTGAAAAAACTATGTTTAATATTAAATATTACACATATACCCAGTTTTGCAGAGTGGGTCAAAAAAGGTAACCCAAACACCCAGTGATACTTACGACGCATGATATTATGACATGTCAATGTACCTTAAAATATATATTCGGATAGAAGTCAAAATATACAACTTGTTTTAAGCTTTTTTGATTTATTCGTTTCACTAAAATTATCTTAAAAGCAAGGATCCCGCTAAAGATCAAAATATAAAAGAACGAGGAATAATTAATGTTAGAAAAATAAGATCTTACACACAATTTCAAAATGCGAAATGGTGTGTCAATTTTTATCAAAAATAGATTTTAGGTTAATAACTCATTTCATATATTCGAAAGTAAAAAAACATTCTATAGATACGAAAGCGAAAAACTATTTTATATATACGAAATAGTTAGAAATATTATGAAAATTATAAAACTGTCCTTCAATTTACTGAGAAAAACCGACCTGTAATTAAACTGGAGAAACTGTCCTTTGAACTGAACACGACTCAAACTGAGCAAGATTGTCCTTAAACTGAGCAAATTGCTCAGATGTCTGAAAGCCTATAGTATTTACATAGATATTTAAAATATCTGTCTGGACCGATGTTTTCGAGGGGCTTAAAATTAAGTACAAATGACTTAATCAAATGTCTGAAATGATGGCTTCTACGCTTTTTGCTGAGACGGGACTCTTAGTTCTGCTTGGAGGTCTACTTTCGGCCCAACGTTGAGATCCCTTGTCAGTTGTTATATCTACGCTTTTCTTTTTACGTTTCTTTATTCTGTCCACGATGCATGCAACAATTCCAGCTAATATTGCCAATGCACCAAATGATGACAATCCTATAGCGAGGGGACTCATTGGTGAACCTGCAATGAAATGGATCTAAAATTATCTAAAGATAGAGGCCGCTTTTTAAAGATTATTTTTATCAGTGAATTACTGCCCCCCCCCCTTCTGCATTACCCTTAGAAATATGCATTGTTTGAGAAGTATAATTAAGGCACTGTTTGGCTAATTTAATCGGTTCCAATATATCCATTTACACTTCAACAGTGTCAATTACTTGTACATACACGTTTACAAATGTTTTCCCGCCTTCCTAAAACAGGAGTCATTGGTAACCATATTTCTCTCAATAAGTTGATCCCGGTGTAAAAGGGTAGGAGGTCCTATCAAATTATGGTCCTACTCTCCATTGATTTATATGGTGACCTAAATACAACTCTTTCCTTTATTATCTTGTACACAATCAGGGCCAGTAAGGGCCGTTTAGAAAGGAGACCATAATCCCCAGGGGACCATAATTTCTTTCACACCGGGAAGTGGATCAATAAAACTCGTGCCATTAGTTTATTTCTCATGTGAAAATTAAATTTCAAATAAAAAGTCTACAATTCTTGATTTAGAGAGATTTTCTCGGAACTTATTGATCGACCTGGTATAGGTGAATATGAATTGTATCTCACCTGCTTCACAGTTTATTTCATCATCGCCACCCGGGCATTGTTCTATGCCATCACACTGTGCCGTGGACACTATACACGCAGCGCCATCTTTACAGAGGTACTGATCACTCGTACACATTGCTGCTTGGGAGTTAGAATTCGCATTGTTGAGCTGATTGGTTTTGTCATTGTTGCTACTGTTATCAACATTACTGTTAATGTCATTTTGTGCGCCTCCATTGCTGTTACTATTACCATTAGTAGCATTGTCTTCAGCATTAGCATTAGTTGTGTCACTCGTGGTTTTACTTGTTGTGGTTGCTCCAGATGAAGATGTCGCCACAATTGTTGTGGTTGTATCTAATGCGTTTGTGGCCTCATTTGTTGTGGTTTTATCCAATGGAGTTGTGGCCTCATTTGTTGTGGTTGTATCTAATCGAGTTGTGGCTTCAATTGTTGTGGTTATATCCAATTGAGTTGTGGCCTCACTTGTTGTGGTTGTATCTAATCGAGTTGTGGCTTCAATTGTTGTGGGTGTATCCAATTGAGTTGTGGCTTCAATTGTTGTGGTTGTATCTAATTGAGTTGTGGCTTCAATTGTTGTGGTTGTATCCAATGGAGTTGTGGCCTCATTTGTTGTGGTTGTATCTAATTGAGTTGTGGCTTCAATTGTTGTGGTTGTATCCAATCGAGTTGTGGCTTCAATTGTTGTGGGTGTATCCAATTGAGTTGTGGCTTCAATTGTTGTGGTTGTATCCAATGGAGTTGTGGCCTCACTTGTTGTGGTTGTATCGAATGGAGTTGTGGCCTCATTTGTTGTGGTTGTATCTAATTGAGGTGTGGCTTCAATTGTTGTCGCTATATCCAATTGAGTTGTGGCCTCACTTGTTGTGGTTGTATCTAATTGAGTTGTGGCTTCAATTGCTGTGGTTGTATCCAATGGAGTTGTGGCCTCACTTGTTGTGGTTGTACCTAATTGAGTTGTGGCTGTATCTAATGAGGTTGTAGCTTCATTTGTTGTGATTGCAACTAATGAGGTTGTGGCCTCAATTGTTGTGGTTTATCCAACGGAGTTGTGGCCTCAATTGTTATGGTTGTATCCAATAGAGTCGTGGCCTCAATTATTGATGTTGTTTCCAATGGAGTTGTGGCCTCAAGTATTGTGGTTGTATACAATAGAGTTGTGGCCCCACTTGTTGAAGTTGTATCTAATGAGTTTGTGGCCTCATTTGTTGTGGTATCCAATGGTGTTGTGGCATCAATTGTTGTGGTTGTATCCAGTGAAGTTGTGGCTTCAATCAGTGTGGTTGTATCCAATGGAGTTATGGCTTCAATTGTTGTGGTTGTATCCAGTGAAGTTGTGGCCTCAATTGATGTGGTTGTATCCACTAAGGTTGTGGCCTGAATTGTTGTGGTGGTATCCAATGGAGTTGTGGTCTCAATTATTGTGGTTGTATCTAGTGATGTTGTGGTTTTTATTTCAGTTGTAGATGTGGCTGTGTTCAGAGCTATGGTGGCTGTATTCAATGAAGTTATGGCTTCAATTGCTGTGACAGTGTTCAATGGAGTTGTAGCTTCAGTTGGGTCTGTACCTGAAGAAGATATGACCTCAGTTAGTGTGGCTACATACAATGAAGTTGTGGGTTCAACTGATATGGCTGAAGTCAATGGAGGTGTGGTTGCAATTGCCGTGATTGTACTTGCATCCAAATGAGATGTTGCTTCAATTGTTGTGTCTGTATCTAATGAATTTGTAGGTTCAATTGCTGTGGCTTCATTCAATAGAACAGTGGCTTCAATGGCTGTATCCAATGGAAGTGTTGATTCGGCCGTTGCTGTTACAGTATTGAAAGGAATTGAGGCTTTAGTTGTTGTGGCTGTATCCAATGGATTTGTGGCTTCAATTATGGTAGCTGTATCAAATGAAGCTATGGCTTCAATTGCTATAGCTGAATTCAATGGAGTTATGTCTTCAATTGCTGTGGTTGTATCCAATGGAGTTGTTGCTTCAATTGTTGTGTCTGTATCCAATGAATTCGTTAATTCAATTGCTGTGACAGTATTTAACGGAACTGTAGGTTCAATTATTATGGCTGTATCCAATAAAGTTGTGGCTTCGACTGCTTTGGCTGAATTTATTTGAGCTGTGGCTTCAATTTCTGTGTCTGTACACAATGAAGTTGTTGCTTCAATAGTTGTGTCTGTATTTAATGGAGTTGTGGCTCCAATTGTTGATGTACCTGATGAAAATGTAACTTCAATTGTTGAGATGCAAAATGATGCTTACAATTTTCATTTGCATGGGTAGTATTCAACATAAAGAGGTCCATTCACATTAAGGTAGGGTAATTAATAGGTAACATGACTTTGAAAATTGTTTCACTAATGAAGTAGTTCCACTTTACAGATTTTGTTACATTTTTGCATGATTATCTTACCATGACACGGCTGTATGTCACATGTCAGGTTCCGTGTGGATTCTCCCAGACAGTCTGCACCACCATGGGCGGGGACTGGGTCCGTGCACGTCCGAGTTTGCGTCTCTATACCGGGTCCACACGACGCCGAACATGTACCATTTGCCCATACGCTCCAACCCCCGTCAACTGAAAGATTAAGAAGTTGAAAAAATACAAACGATTAACCAAGAACTAAGTTTTAGTGATCACTCTTCAATACGAGCTTTTATAAAATCCGTGGTTTCTTTGAGTCAATGTTCAAGCAGATGAGTGGGGCTCATTCATATAATTGTCGAAGCAGACATCTTGTCTTCTTACATTAAATAATATTTCGTCGCAATCGGCACGATTTTTTGTAACCTACAGCTAAATAAAATGCAAATCATTGGTTTTTAAATAACAGTTGGTAGAACAGTGCAGAATCAGTGACTTACTCGGACACGCATGCGTATTACAGTCTGTGGAGTTGGTAGTGACACCTATACAAGAGTTACCACTGCAGTATGGGGTAGGATTATCACAGGTTCTTGTCTGGGTCTGTTGTCCACCACCACATACAGCAGTACACACACTCCACGAGCTCCATGATGACAATCCCCCGTCAACTGCAATAATTTGTTATTGAAATGAAGCTAGAGGTGTGGACGCAAGCAGTGACGACATTCAGGTAGGGGATCATAACTACAGTACAGTTTATTTAGGGAGACTACAAAAGGTAAATGATGTAGGGGTCCACGGTGCTATTTGGCCGAGAGGTTTCTCATGTGGGAGTAAAGAAAAGAAATAAACCTGATGTAGCTTATTGATGTAGCACCAAATGGGCTCAGCAAAATAACCGATCAATTGCAACCAACAAATGAACGTAATCTTTAAAGGTCAATATTCATGCTCTTTGAATGTGATGGGTGTTAAATGGCAACATGCTCTAACTCAAAAAGTAAATTGGTTTATTTTTCTACATTTTCAGGATTTCATACCCAAGTCTTCTGCCACATATCTTTACCTGGACAGCATTGGGTGTTACATGCAGATGTGGACGTCAGATCACCGGAACAACTTGCTCCACTACAAGATGGCGCTGGGTTATCACATGTTCTAGTTCTTGATTGAGTACCACCACCACATGGTAGACTACATGCATCCCAAACTCCCCAGGTACTCCAACCGCCATTAACTGAAAACATACAAACAACAATATGACAAGGTACACTGTAAATTGAATAGATTGTTTTTTGTCTCCAAGATGCAAAGTTCACCGATGAAAATTACAAACAGACGTTATTGCCCAAGAACCGGAGAACGCACCCTCTCCGCAAAATTACTACATGCAGAGACATAAAAAACCTGTCTCTGCTACACGGTATTTTTAGATTTCACCCGACTTTGACTACATACGTACCCCTATTCCCCAAACCACCATCGACCAGGATATACCAATTATCAAATCTCGATCGCGTTTGTTTCTTTTTGACTACCTTACCCTGCTTAATGAGCCGACAGCCTACCGTGACGCAGACAGAATACATACCTGCACAACAGTGTGTATTGCAATTGGACGTTAATGTCGCCGAGCCGATACACGTCGCTCCTCCACAAGATGGCGCCGGGTTGTTACAGGACCTTGTTTTCGATTTTGTCCCACCACCACAAGCCACGCTACATGCCTGCCACGCACCCCAATCTCCCCAGTCACCATCGACTAAAATGAAATGGACTCCTGTGTTTACTTGTGGACTATTTTACTGGGTTCTCACTGCTTTCTGTCATTTATTAATAACATGTATAGTGCCAGCACACAATGTGGCAGATATATCGTCCTCGAGGTGCTTAAAGTCAATAAGCTTGCATACAATAATTTTAAAAAAAAACATTGTAAAATTCATTTATGAACAAACATATACCTCGACAGCAATGTGTGTTACAAGTGGACGTTGATGTAGAAACCCCGGAACAAGTAGCTCCGCCGCAAGATGGCGAGGGATTGTCACACGCCCTAGTCCGAGAGCGTATCCCTCCGCCACACGCCTTATTGCATGACTGCCAGCCACTCCAGCTACGCCAACCACCGTTCACTAAATATACATATATGTACAGACAGCTTAAATCCTAAATTCTTGAAGAAGTGACATCTTGGTTATACTGTTAAATGCTTTCTATTGAAGATGAGTGATTAAATATGGAAGTACGATACCAGGAATAGAGTAACGTCTAGAAATAAATTAGGGCAATGAAAAAACATAAGATTAACTCAAAATAAAAAGTTATTCGACCCCTCCCCCCCCTAAAAACAAACAAAAACAAATAAGAAACTTAATGTATATGGTAGTTACCTGCACAACAATGAGTGTTACAATTAGATGATGATGTAGAAGACCCGGAGCACGACGAACCACCACAGGATGGTGATGGATTGGTACATGACCTTGTCCGAACACGTGTTCCACTACCGCAGGCCCTGCTACATGATTGCCACGAATTCCAGATCCGCCATCCACCATTTACTGAAAATATGAATGTGCAGCAGACGAACTGTAATTTCTATTTGCTTCTGTTTACCCAGTGGCCAAATAAATGTGTTTATTTCCCCACCTTGTAGGAGGAATGAATACCTCTGAAGGTCGTTACAATCTTGGTGGCAGCAGATGGGACTACATTATATTCCCATGGATTTGATAATTTACTATAGACTTGAATATCTGCATCTTGGATTACCAAGGTTAGATTGAAAATCAAACTGGTAAACGAGTATGGAATATCTGGCGTTACAGCGCTGGGAATTTCTCTATCAAAATACTCTAACCATTAGATCTTAAATTCTGTACTTTACGAAAGCCATTTATTTATGAGTGTTCCGCACTTATAGACTGTATCAGAATAATATTTTAATGTAGTAAAATCAATGAAGTGGTTAATTGGCCAATTAGAGAAGCTCAAATACGATTTTGAAATTGTCCATCTAATCCTCATTCGTCTCATTTCCCTTTCAATTTGCACCATACATAATGTGTCGCTCTGACAGACCGTTAAGTCCATCTCATTCCGATATATGGCGCATTACTAAAATAACGTATGATACATGTACGTGCACACTTAACATTCAAATACTGTTTTAGATATAGCTATGTAATTCTGAATTGATTGCTGCATAACTTAAAAAAAATAAGCAATGCATTATGAAAAATAAGGTATTAAAAAATAAAAACAGGAACGTCTTTTGGATAATATCCTACTGTATGTTGTACAGTGAAATATAATTTTTGAGAAATTACTGATTTGAGCAGAATGTGACCATTTAATAGTATATTGGCTACAGGCCATTATAAAATTTACCTCTACAACAATGCGTGTTACACAAAGATGATTTCGTAGAAGAACCTCCACAGGAGCTTCCACCACAGGAAGGGGACGGGTTCGTACATGTTCGGGATGCATATTTCTGACCTCCCCCGCATGCTTTGTTGCATGACCCCCATCCCGACCATCCACTGTATCCTCCATTCACTACAATAGTACAATCACGTCATTTCGAAAGGCAATATACATATATAGTGAAATATTGGACCGAGGGCCGAAGGTAACCTATATAGAGAGGGAGGGGTACGTAGCCATTTGATATTGTATTGTATTGTTTCTTTAGATTATAGTTAGATTATAGTTTTGTGATATCTAAGATTTATTTTCTTTCCATGGATGTTTTTCTTGCTGTGCTTTGTTCATAGTTTCGATCTAATTTTTCAAAGTTCCAGTCTAAAAACGTTCAAAACTATTTCTCTGTAGTCTTGGTGAGGCGATTGCTGCGCCTGCCCAGAGAGTTTCATGGCCTACCTATGGGGAAACAAATACATGTAACTTTAAACTGGTCACGTGATCATGTTGTGCTATACGAATACTGATTTTAAAACAAAATATGTCACCCTATGCAGACAGAGCCTGTGGGAAATATTGGGTGCGGCGCAAATGAGCGGAGGGTGCGGAGCTAACGGTCATTTTTGAATTTAAAATTGGGATATTTCTGAAACTAAGCCGTTTTGGGACTTCAAATATACCAAGATATGTGTATTTGACACCAAATATCAATAAAATTGTGAAAATAGTAGTGCAATTCATTTTATAGCGACGCAGTATGCCTTAAACATTTCCTAGACCTATATATTTTGAGACTATCCTTTTAATACTGCGTCCCCAGCATTCATAAAAAATGGTGTTCAAGATACACTACCCATGCAAATTATTTTTGCATCTTGGAAGCCAGGCAGTATCTGTGTGATTTTATAAAAATTCGGAAATGTTCTTCAGATATGAGCCCCTCTAAATATTGGGTGCGGAGCTACGTTTATGGAGCTGCTCCGCACCCAATATTTAGAGGGGGCTCATATCTGAAAAAATTTCCGAATTTTTATAAAATCACACAGATACTGCCTGGCTTCCAAGATGCAAAAATAATTTGTATAGATAGTGCACCTTGAACATCATTTTTTATGAATGCTGGGGACTCAGTATTAAAAGAATAATTTCAAAATATATAGGTCTGGGAAAGGTTTAAGGCACACTGCGTCGGTATAGAATGAATTGCGCTACTATTTTCACAATTGTATTGATATTTGGTGTCAAATACACATATCTTGGTATATTTGAAGTCCCAAAACGGCTTAGTTTCAGAAATATCCCAAATTTAAATTCAAAAATAACCGTTAGCTCCGCACCCTCCGCTCATTTGCTCCGCACCCAATATTTCCCACATGCTCTGTCTGCATAGGGTGTATGTTATGATCCAAGATTATACGTAATCTTTTATAAAAATGGTGGCCATTTTAAATCGAGCGGGTACACTCCAGTTTGGTTTGGTTTGGGTTACCTGGACAACAATGTGTGTTGCACGCTATAGTCTGGCCGCTACTTCCTGAACAGCTATTACCTCCGTTCTTCGGTACAGGATTGGTACATGACCTGGTTCTCGTTTTCTGACCGCCACCGCAAGCCCTATTACACGAGCCATAGGAACCCCAGCTCGCCCAGTTACCATTCACTGTGAATTAGATCAAATGGTAAATAAAGGATATATGTACGATGATTAAACTCCGATGGTTTCATCTTAAAAATATAGATTTTGCAAAATTACTTACTCGTATTTCCGGTACTTTTTGATTTTTACTTCAACGACTATTTCTAAGCATCATTATTTTTATATATATATACATGTACAATATACATGTAGAGTAAAATTTAATTTAATTTTTGATTTTCCCGCTCAACCGGGACGTAAAGCTAGATCATGCTCGCTGTTGAAAACAGACATTTTACAAACTTGTTTTATATATACCACCCTATGCAGACAGAGCCTGTGGAAAATATTGGGTGCGGAGCAAATGAGCGGAGGGTGCGGAGCTAACGGTTATTTTTGAATTTAAATTTGGGATATTTCTGAAACTAAGCCGTTTTGGGACTTCAAATATACCAAGATATGTGTATTTTACACCAAATATCAATACAATTGTGAAAATAGTAGGGCAATTCATTCTTTAGCGACGCAGTGTGCCTTAAACCTTTCCCAGACCTATATATTTTGAAATTATCCTTTTAATACTGAGTCCCCAGCATTCATAAAAAATGGTGTTCAAGGTGCACTATCTATACAAATTATTTTTGCATCTTGGAAGCCAGGCAGTATCTGTGTGATTTTATAAAAATTCGGAAATTTTTTCAGATATGAGCCCCCTCTAAATATTGGGTGCGGAGCAGCTCCATAAACGTAGCTCCGCACCCAATATTTAGAGGGGCTCATATCTGAAGAACATTTCCGAATTTTTATAAAATCACACAGATACTGCCTGGCTTCCAAGATGCAAAAATAATTTGCATGGGTAGTGTATCTTGAACACCATTTTTTATGAATGCTGGGGACGCAGTATTAAAAGGATAGTCTCAAAATATATAGGTCTGGGAAATGTTTAAGGCATACTGCGTCGCTATAAAATGAATTGCACTACTATTTTCACAATTTTATTGATATTTGGTGTCAAATACACATATCTTGCTATATTTGAAGTCCCAAAACGGCTTAGTTTCAGAAATATCCCAATTTTAAGTTCAAAAATGACCGTTAGCTCCGCACCCTCCGCTCATTTGCGCCGCACCCAATATTTCCCACAGGCTCTGTCTGCATAGGGTGTATACAGTACCTCTGAAAACGTCCAAGTATGGGAAAATTTTAGAACTTATGACATAACAAAAATAACCAAGGATGCTTCGAAACTGGGATATAATTTCACAAAATACCGTGAACCCGGCCTTTAGTTAAAATGTACGTGTGTCTGTTAAACTGATTGTTGGTTCTGATCCTATACTGACCTGGATGAGTGAAGGTGACCCAGTTGTCACAGTAGACCCAATTGTAATAGTTGAAGAGGTAAGTGATACTACGGAGATTATCCTGTAGCACTACCTACAATGATTACATATTATCATGTATAGTAATACCTACAATGATTACATATTATCATGTATAGTAATACCTACAATGATTACATATTATCATATGTAGCACTACCTACAATGATTACATATTATCATATTATGTAGTAATACATACAATGATTAATTATTATCATATATAGTAATACCTACAATGATTACATATTATCATGTATAGTAATGCCTACAGTGATTACATATTATCATATACCTACAATGATTACATATTATCATATATACTAATACCTACAATTATTACATATTATCATATATAGTAATACCTGCAATGATTACATATTATCATATGTAGTAATTCGTGTACCTACAATGAATACCTACAATGATTACATATTATCATGTATAGTAATGCCTACAGTGATTACATATTATCATATACCTACAATGATTACATATTATCATATATAGTAATACCTACAATTATTACATATTATCATATGTAGTAATACCTACAATGATTACATATTATCATATGTAGTAATACGTGTACCTACAGGGTGACAAAAAAAACTGGAACCCATAAATCATCAAATTTCTCGGAAAGTATTATACCTACATTCTTCATTTCTTCAGGGTAGAAACTAGACTGAATGCATGACAAAATGACACCATAATGAGTACTGTAGCTTAGATATTAATCATGCCATGGACAACAGAACAAAGGACTTATATTGTGAGAAAGTATATCGAGACGAAATCATATAAAGAGACACAAACTGCCTATAGGAGAGATCACAGGGGAAGAAGAGCCCCTTGCAAGTCACAGATCTTTAGGCTTGTACAGAAGTTTGATTCAAAAGGAACTGTAAAACCAACAAAGAAGAAAAGTGATGGTAAACCAACCTATTCTGGGAGACAGAGGTCTGTCAGAACTCGAGAAAACTCAACAGTCAACACAGAACGTTACATCCCTTACGTTCGAAAGTTTTGGAGAGCGCTGGGTAGACGACGTGACGTGAGAAGGGACCAGCAATGGTTCCAACAAGATGTTGCCACACCCCACACCTCAAATGAGTCCATTCGAAGGCTTCAGGCTCACTTTGGTGATCGATTAATCAGTCACCATACCCACCACATCTGCCCCCCCCACTCCCCTGATTTGAACCCCCCCAGATTTTTATCTGCGGGGTTATCTCAAGGAAAATGTGTATTCAGATAGTCCACTGACAATTGATGACCTCAAACTCAACATAGGAAGACTAATTAGAGAGATGGTCAGAGATGAATGCTGTCGGGTCATTGACAATTTTGCAAGAAGAATCCAGCTCTGCATCCAACGTCGTGGTGCACATTCGGAGCACATTATCTAAACGTGCCTCATTTTGAGACTAATTGAGCTAGAATGCTCAAACGTTGACATCTTGTCATACATTCAGTTTACTATACAGGTACCACATAACTAAGCTCAATATGCATAATTGACGAAGTTATTAAGACTTAAGTGGGTTCCAGTTTTTTTGTCACCCTGTACAATGAATACCTACAATTATTACATATTATCATATAGTAATACCTACAATGATTACATATTATCATATGTAGTAATACCTACAATGATTACATATTATCATATATAGTAATACCTACAATGATTACATATTATCATATGTAGTAATTCGTGTACCTACAATGAATACCTACAATGATTACATATTATCATATATAGTAATACCTACAATGATTACATATTATCCTGTAGCACTACCTACAATGATTACATATTATCATTTGTAGTAATACCTACAATGATTACATATTATCCTACACTTAGTGTACTAAATGTATAATAACATTAAAAAATAAATTTGATATTTATTGGCAAAATGAATATCCGGAGGATATCGTAACGATATACTCCGGGCGGAGGATATCGTGACGATATACTCCGGAAAACCCAATATGCGGAGGATATTGTGACGATATACTCCGCTTGTTGATTTCCCGCCAAACTGACTATATTTGCCATGGAATTCATTTTGCAATGATATTATACATTTAGTACACTCCTTGTAAGTGTAGGATAATAAGAACATCCTATGATTTTTTTCAGAATATCATTTTAATCTACTCGGTGATATTGATATATGCACTCGTTCGCTTCGCTCTCTCGTGCAGATATCAATATCACCTCGTAGATAAAAATGATATTCCTCAAAATCATAGGATATCCTATAATTATCATGTATAGTTATGCCTACAGTGATTACATATTATCATATATAGTAATACCTACAATGATTACTTATTATCATGTATAATAATACCTACAATTATTACATATTATCATATCTAGTAATACCTACAATTATTACATATTATCATATCTAATAATACCCACGATGATTAATTATTATCATATATAGTAATACCTACAATTATTACATATTATCATATGTAGTAATACCCACAATGAATACATATTTTCATATGTAGTAATACCTACAATGATTACATATTATCATATGTAGCACTACCTACAATGATTACTTATTATCATACATAGTAATACCCACAATGAATACATATTATCATATGTAGTAATACCTACAATAATTACATATTATGATATGTAGTAATACCTACAATGATCACATATTATCATATATAGTAATACCTACAATGATTACATATTATCATATGTAGTAATACCTACAATGATTACATATTATCATATATAGTAATACCCACAATGATTATACATATTATCATATATGGTAATACCTAATGATTACATATTATCATATGTAGTAATACCTACAATGATTACATATTTTCATACATAGTAATACCCACAATGATTATACATATTATCATATATGGTAATACCTAATGATTACATATTATCATATGTAGTAATACCTACAATGAATACATATTTTCATATGTAGTAATACCTACAATGATTACATATTTTCATACATAGTAATACCCACAATGAATACATATTATCACATATAGTAAAATCTACAATGATTACATATTATCATATATAGTAATACCTACAATGATTACATATTATCCTGTAGCACTACCTACAATGATTACATATTATCATATGTAGTAATACCTACAATGATTACATATGTTCATACATAGTAATACCCACAATGATTATACATATTATCATATATGGTAATACCTAATGATTACATATTATCATATGTAGTAATACCTACAATGATTACATATTTTCATACATAGTAATACCCACAATGATTATACATATTATCATATATGGTAATACCTAATGATTACATATTATCATATATAGTAATACCTACAATGATTACATATTATCATATATAGTAATACCTACAATGATTACATATTATCACATATAGTAAAATCTACAATGATTACATATTATCATATATAGTAATACCTACAATGATTAGATGGTATCATATAGAAACATCAATCAGGGTGTCCCTCACGGATCCCCAGGCAGACATATACATAGAAAGTACCTGTAACCTTTTCCTATTTCTGAGGTGAAACAGTATACTTGGCAAATCAACTTTGGATAAGCTTTAAAATGATACATGACATACACATTGGAGAAAATGGATGTCTGCCTAGGCTGAGGGTCCAATACTTTCGGAACGCCCTGCCAAAGTACATGTATCTATGAAATCTGTGTAAGTTCAAGAAATTATGAGCAAACTATATTCGGAGGATGGATACCGTGTTACAAACTATTTTAAATTTTATCAGGTCATTTTATTCGCAAACTTACAAATATTATGGGGTGTATATTTATGTTATATATGAAATACTGTAAGATGGATTAAATTGAATTGAATAATCCGTATTACCCTATTAAGTTTCCAATCCGATCCACAGCAACAACTTGTACTGAATCCAATGATCACTTGGTATACGTAACCGGCGTCATAGCTTCCCAGAGAATACGCTCTCGTCCTGGAATCATAAATTTTTTAAATGACTATTTTGCATTAATACTGAATCCAATGACCACTTGGTATACGTAACCGGCGTCATAGTTCCCCAGAGAATCCTGGAATCAAAGATGTTTCTAATGACTATATTTCATATTTTTATATACTGAGTGTCCAAAAAATGCTGAACCCTTAATGTTGAAAATTTGAAAAATGAGCGATGGTGCCAAAACAAGCTTTATTCTACACAGTTGATGTAGTTACTTTATGATACACTTTCTGTTGTTTATGATAATTAACATCCGATGACCTAATTTCAAGAATCCTTCGTCACGATAAATATTCCATGTTTGTGTCGGTACAGAACTTGGGTTACCCTGTATACATATTTCAGTCGAAGGACTAGTAAATTATCCATGTACGCAGTGTACGGGAAACAAAATGTATTCAATATCACCTCATCGAAGGGACGTCTATACCTATTAAGTTACATTTACGACAAATGTCACAATTGGCCACTATTTCGCGGGAACATAAGACTGCGAATAATGCGATTATATATTTTGTCTTCCTTGCGTGAAATCCTTCTAAGCCGCCCCCACCCCAAACTAATAAACGCCATATACTGTGCGTAGCCAGGCACGAGGCGGGCGGGGCAGTTTTGACGTTTTTTTCAACTAAAACTGTGTAAATGAAGTCAACATATAGTAGAGTAACTATAGTAATATGTCTTCTTTCTTTTAAAGGAGTGGTTTCGATATGGTGAACTTTGTGAACACACATTTCCCCTAAACCAGTCATCAAAAAATTCTGAAAATTTTACACATCGTCAATTTAATGATCATCTTTTGGACTGGAACATTATAATTTGAAATATATATATTACACTTTTCTCTATATTGTTTTAGAAAACACATCAGACACTTCTTTTCTTCTTGGTACCATATGTTCGGAATAAAATGAAACATCTATCCGAACCTCATTGGAACAAAACGACATAAACACAACGTGTTTAGGTCTTTCAATATTGTAATTGTACAAAGGAAAGTTTGGTTGATTATAATTTATAAAAAGTATCCTGTTCATGAAATAAAAGATTTATCTTATTTTTTGGGGATTTTGTTTTATTTTTTTGGCATACTTTTTGTTAAATCAACCAAAATTTCATTTGTATAACTATAATATTGAGAGGTCTAAGAAAATGTTGTTTATGCCATTTTGTTCCAACAAAGTGCGGAAACACATTTTATTTCATTCTGAAGTATTATCAGAAAGGAACAAAAAACAATTGCACTAAAAACAAAAAAATGTCAACAAAAACAGTTATATGAAATATAAATAAATAATTCTCGCATTAAATTGTTGTAAATCAGTTAACATTACATAAAGGATCGTATTTTTTACAGAATGTTTTCAATAATTGGTTTAAGAGAAAAACATTGTTAAATTCAGTTCACCATATCGATACCTATCCTTTGCGTTGCCTATTTTTACGTTTGCCTCGCCAAATCTTTGTTCCTTGCGACGCCACTGCCCATATTTTCCTACGAAGGTATGAAAATGGGGGAGACAGAGGCCTCATGGAAGACTTTGATATATTCAACTACTTACGATCCTCCTTCAAAGTCATTAGCAGCACTATCTAGCAAGATGTACCCCGTGTCGTAAGTAGAATAACCGGTCTTGACTCCGTATACTCTAATCTTTACGTCTCCGTCCGTACCAGCGTACCAGTCGCTACTTGTCTGTACAGTCGCTGTGTATCCACCTTAAAGGAGAGCTATCCCTGAATAATCCTGCTATATTTTATACACATGGTATTTGGACACTAACATTTTTTGCATTATTTTGGAACATGTATGTTGCTAAAATTGTAAAACAGATATTAAATTCGGGCCTTCTTTCAGTGGCCACTTAAACACAAAACCGATTACTTTAGCATGTTGTCAGATTTCAAACAATATGGAGAACATGTGCATCAACAGATAATGTATTTTTTAAACAGAACTTGTATTTTCGCCTGTAGTGGCAATGGTAAACAGGACAGTTGTAACGACCATATTAGACTCTTGAATTCAAAATGGCAGCCCTTTTGTTTCTTAAAATATATATTGAAACTCCTAAAACTGACAATAAGTTAAGTCAGTATCCGCTAAGTGGTTTATTGAGAGTTGTTTCAATATGGTTTTAACAAAATTACTGTCTATCTATTCTTTTTCTATCAATAGTGTGACGCAGTTACGTTTGCTCTGGTTTCTCAAAATATTACTTTTTTGTTTTTTAGTTTTGGGTTTTAGATCATATTTTTCAACATACCTTTGGTTAAGTCTATTCTACATACTATCAAGGCGAAGAAAAGTGCTATTTCTAACACTGAATTCATGAAGCGTCTCATATCTTTTACATCATCGGAATCTTAAGGATTTTTCTCATTGTCCTCTTGAGAAAGTGGTACCTAAAACAAAAACTAATGTTATCTTCGTTATTGTCAGTTAATGACGGAAGAGGTTGTTGAACGAGAAGATGTTTCTTGATAATAGAACTATCTGAATCTATCTGAATCGGGTGGCTGTTGTGTCACATTTAAACTAAAATTGCGAAATAATTTGGGTATCCGTCAAAGAAAAACAAAGTTTTAGATTGTATTTTTCGATATTATTTTTGGATAAATATGTAAAAATAATGTTACTTACCTATTCAGTACCCCATGATGTCGTTTTGTTGTTTTCCTCTTGTTGACTTTTAGGTGGTATTAAAGCATTAGTCATTTATTGTTCAACATCCCTAATATCTTAAAGTACCACCGCGTTCTTGTCTGTACATCCGGGTACTTATATTCATTAAAACTCGTCGATTTGTGAATCCATATAAAGTTATATTCAGAAAACTTTAATTTCACATAATATCTTGAAAATCAAAATATGCTATATACTTTACTTTTAATTAAATATTTGATATCAACTGCGTTTCATTTTTGTTTTTGGTTTCAAGTACACGCATTCTTTAAGAAGGATGTAAAGTGCGACGTTAAATAAATTTGTACCCTTTTAACAGTCTTTGAGGATTGAGTTTCCACATATTGTTTGGTACCTTCTTCAAATAATGTTAAGTTTTGTTTGCTATTTACGAACTCAAAAATAACGTTGTTAAAACAGATTGTCTTTCTGTATATACATGTCAATAAACCGTTGTCAATAGTAAGCTATGAATTGACAAAAGAGGCATTTACTGTCGTATACTAAAATTTATTGACCGTGTGACACAAATCAAATACTGAAACTTTAGTTTAATAATTGTTTCTCTGTAAATGAAAACTTGAATAAAATAACAACAAAGAGTAAATGCTTAGTTCATAAAGTGAAAAAACAGCTTCTATTTTCAATGTCAAGATAGTATTAGAGACAGGGTTCTTGGATAAACAAAATTCTTTGATCAACGTCAACACAGAAAAAATTTAACAAACTACAATAATTTCATATTTTGTTTTATTCTATTTTTGTCTTATTCCCTATTTAACCGCCAATTAATCTAACTTCATAGTATGTATATGCACATGTATCAATAGTCATTGAATATAGTATTAATTTGATATGAAATGTACAAGTCAATGTTTTGTGTATGCGCGGTCCATATGTTACTCTGATTAAGCCCCTGTGGTCATCGTAGGCTTAGATAGGCGTTGATTGGAATAAACTCCATCATTGAGAATAAGCCAATCATCTATACAATTTATATAATTATATGGTATTCCAGTGTAATAGGGAAATATCCGAGGTATTTAAAAAGCTGCCTATCATCATGAATGTCATCATTATCTCAACTCAAGTTTATCGAGTCTCAAAAAGTGATTCATGTGGGAGACTATTGGTAGGATCACTTTTCAATAGTAAGAATATGGGTTCTTTGTACAGCTATTTTTGAAATTTTTTGTAAGCTCAACTAACTCTGATCATGATACTAAGCTAAGGCTTTTTTCAAAGTGAGGGACATTTTCAAAATTGTCATTCATGGCACGATGCAGTTATACCTACATATCTGAACGCCTATAATCTAGCAATCACTCAATGGGATCATTTTATTCTTTGTTCCAATTTCACGTATTCACCCATTGACTACCTTGCGTGTTAAAAACTTAAAATGGGAACACCTGCTTTACTAATCTGAACACTTTTGGCCAGTAAAATTGGTGTTCAGACTGGAAAGATTTTACTGTATTTATATTATGCATTTCCCTAATATGTAACGATCACAGAGTCCTTAGCTGTTGTAATGTAATATCGGATTCTATAAAAAGGAAAAATGTTACAATGACAGCTATTCAGGCTATTGTTTTTATCGAGTGGCAGTCCTCGTAGTACGATGTTTACAGTTTATTATGGCAGTCAATAAATAGTACAACCATTGATTCGCATAGCATAGCACACCGAATAGCCTGAAAACGATTAAGTCAGATACCGTTGTCACAAATGGCTCCCCTTTGCATTCGTTCGCCTTAACTTCTTAAAACAATTCAGAGTATCGTCTTCGGTAGTTTATAAATAGACAGCGCGTAGGGTAAAGGAAGCCATGACAGCATAAGCGCAGTTATGTTATGACTCAAGTATGGGTACCATGACTACATGGTTGTATTTATAACTACAGCTAACGTCTCCGTGATGGTTACATATTGAGGAAATACATGATGTAGAAATGATGTAGAAATGCAGTAAGATCTGTCCAATCTGAACATCAGGCAATTATACTGGCCAAAAGGTGTTCAGATTTGTAAAACAGGTGTTCCCATTTGAAGTTTTTTGACATGTTAGTTATCAATGGGTGAATACAATTAAAGTTGGGACAAAGAAAGAACAAGTGTTCCCATTGAGCGGTTTCAATTCCAGATTAAAGAGGCGTTCAGAGAGATATGCAGGTTTTACTGTAAAGTATTATGGAAGACACTTTTGATTTTTCTTTGGAAAACAAGCCTTTTTGGCCTAATAAATATCGATTATATTACCATAACTTACTATTTGGCCGCTACCCTTCTTCATTTCCATGCTAACTTTCAAAGTTTACAGAAAAGAAACATTTGAAAATCTTAATAGGTAGTACATATTTGTGTGTCTGGATTTTAAATCAATGATCACACATATCAAAAGTACCACTCAAATTCTGTTTATTCATGGAATTCAATACAAACAAAGAAGCACTATTCGATCAACTCCATCGGCTATTCAATCTGTTAATTATGAAGCCTTGTCATAACAATAGGAATGTAAGTATTTATAGACACGCTCCCTAGCCTAGTCATGCTAGTAAACATAACAAATTACCGATGCTCTATAGATTTTTGATGTAAACGTAACCAATGCAAACTACGGCAGGGAGTCCGTTCCACGGGGAATCGTTAATTGATGAATTCATATACTGTATACTAGTAACACCACACTGAAGACTGTTGAAGAGCGTCATCAAAAAGAGCATGTCAAAGGTGCAACTAAGTTGGGACTAGATGTAGGCCACACTCTGGGACAAGTTGCATTTGCTAAAGATTATTTAATTTCTATAAGTACCTTAAGCTTACTACTTGGGACGCACATTGAAGGCTGTCCAGGTAAGTTTACGTGTAATATTTGGGGACACGAGGGAAAGCTTAAGGGGATTGTGTCCTTCCCGAAAATTGTTTTGCTTTCTACGGCCCAAAGCGATCATTAAACTTTGCATAAATATAGGGCCATGTCAGGGAAGACCTGGGGCAAAACGGGACACGGGGCAAGAGGGGGCAAGTGTTTTGTAAAAGTGGAAGCGTTTTTCAATGTGCCATGTACATTGCCATTTTAAGAAATTGCAGACACCAGGAACACTTTAACAAACACACAAAAGCCAAGTTTCTAACATCAATAAACCAGAACAATAGACCTGAACTAGGTCCTTTTAAAATATACCTTCACAGTCAAATCAACACTTTATAAAAAGTGACAAAAATCTACAATCTTCCCTTTTCTCTCTCTCTTTCTACAGTAAACATCATTAATAACCTGTAAAATAATATGTGAAAATAACGATTTAATAAAAAAATTCCCTTAGTGATAAATATTAAGGTTTCGAACATCCAATGCATAAGAGCTAATTAGGGGGTACAGGGGCCAACCAGGAAGGTTCCTTTCAATTCTGAGTTGTGAATTATAGATCTATTTTTAAATGTTAAGGTTTTAAATTATATTCTATTCAATTTCTATCACTGCGTTAAATCATATCTCTGCTTTTTTTTAGCCTTTTGCAGATTATTGACATAGACATAGACATACTGTGGGCCCGTTTCCCTAAAATAGATAGAGAGAATTCAGAACGCAGGGGCATGTTTTGAAAAAATGTAGGCTATTAATACAGACATTGCCCATGTGAAGCTCTAGGGGCAAATATCTCATGGGCAAACCGGAACAACTTCAGCATAATAACGTGGACATTAATCGCCAATTAAACACAAGTAAAAAATATACATGTAATTTCAGATATTTCATTTTGGATGGATTGGATTGGAATGGATAGCATGAGATTTTTCAATGGAGAAGTAACATGGGGAACACTTATCAGCAATTAGTTTTTCTTTCAAGAAATATTTCGGATACATAAGATAAAGAATAGTAATGCATTGAACGATGTAAAAATTATTGAATTTTTGGTGAAAATGGGGTCAACAAGTGTGTTGATGGGTTGATTGCTAGTTAAATATCTCCGAGTTTCTTTGACTTTATTATTAAGCTTACTGTATGTAATTTTCTTTGAGATAGGTAAATTGTTTGCGATAACCTACGAGCTCCTTTGTATTTTTACAAAATTGGCAAGATATGATAATACTTGTAGTTCTAGTCAGTCTGGCAACTTCAACATGTTGTATTTTATTCCGAGGATAAGAATGACAGGTTCCTGTTTTATTCTCTACCAATAGATGGAGCGCATGCCAGTTGGAGTAGAAATCACTAAGGTTCCGGTCCAGAAAAGAAGGAACATTATGTTCAAGACAAAAGTGCTTGTTCTGGGGCCATGTGAAGTAAGTACGGTATGATTATACTAACATGGAGTATTTAAGTTTGTAATTACATTAGTTTCATTGCCAGTTTGGGTTCGTAACCATAAATACATCGGCTTGAAATGTTCGACATTCCTGAGCAAAATAAAAATCCGAAAATGTTGTGAATTTTCTTTCTATGATTTTATTTGTTCCTGTCTTCTTATAATATTATAGTTTACATTTAAATAAAAATTCGAGTAACCAGGATCATGAAAATATATGGTTTGGACAAATCTATTGGTTTTTTATCTGCGAAATTTGTAATTTATTTGTGAGTAAAATAGTTTCACCTATTATCGCCCACTTGGCAACAATAAACAAATCGATCAGAATTTTTATTACCCCAAAGAAAGTAGCCCATATAGGCCAGGGTAGTAGGAATTAAGTTACTTGAAAACCATTTAATCAGATAAAACAATGGTTTGCTGGTTATGTTGCATCAACCCAAAGGTACAGTCTGTTAAACTGCTTCAAAGGCAAGCTGTTGAACCTGTCATCAACATGGTCTTTGCAAGGTTCAGTTTTTAAAATTAGAAAAATAACCATACAGAACACTGCCCTGTCAACCCTCACGCATTAGGCGTGATTGTCACGCATTTGCTGGAAAAATATAAATCACGCATCAATTTAGCGTGTATGATCAAATATCACGTAAATCACGCATTTTGTTGAAATTTTTAAAAATCATTTTTTTGGGAAATGCCGAGACGGTAAAGTACCGAACGGCTAAAAAAAGCGAACGCATTCCGTTCGGTCTTTGCACGCGATTGCCGTTTATCTCACGCATTTTGTACAAAATATGTGTATATTCATTTGTTTCGAAAATATTCACACCTAACCCCCCCCCCCAGCTGGAAAAATTTTAGGTGTCCAAAATCTGCCAGTGTTCACTGAAGCTGTCCAAAGTTTGAAGGAAGGTGTTCAACATTTGGAAGTCACTCATGTTAGGTGGTCCCAAGTTGACAGCCCTGAGAACACCACTTTTGTTACTATGTTATATTTTTCTAAGATACATGTAAATACTAAGTAACTCCAAAACTTACAGGATAAAACACAGAATTAAATCCTGCGCTAAGGGCTGATGTGAAAAAGGCAGTCCACTTTAGTGGGGATTGAACAACGACCCCACACTTTCCAGGCGATTGCTCTACCACTGAGCAATAAAATATGCAAAATGCACAAGTTGGAGCCTCATAATTTAATAGTTCTTCCCTGATTTTCATTGCAGAGTGGTAAAACGGTGTTGTCTAACTTCCTGTCAGATGCTACGGATACATCAGGCGGGGAGTACCACCCTACAGTTGGAGTAAGGTATGAAACAGGCTTTCAGGGGTTTCACTAGAATTTCTCACAACAGGCTAAATAAATGAAAACAACAGGCAAAATCAATGGAATCATGAATTTAAAATGCAAAAGTTGAAAAGTCCCTAAAAACACCAGGCAATTTTGTGAAAACAACCAGTAAAAATCGCCTGAGTACCACCCTACTGTTGGAGTAAGGTAAAGAAACAGGCTTTAGAAAGTAAAAAAAAAACAGAGTGAACCATGTACATGTATAATGGAACAACTAACTGAACTGGTCAGCCATTATGATCACATTTCTTGTAGACAGGTGCTCCTTACAGAGATAGGTTCATTAGCATTTAGAATTAATTGGGACCATGGCTCAAATATCCAGAATATATTGTTTCATTCAGTGGATTCACCTGCTATGGATGATGATCTGGGCTCTGTAATTGTATAACTATTCCGTATATTTGCAGGATTCTTGAGTTTGAATCTAACAATTTGAATGTTGCTGGGAAGAACTCAAGCGCAGAAGTTGAGCTGTGGGATGTCAGCGGAGACAAGAAGTAATGTCTTATGTATCATACAATTCATTTACAATAAGCACTGATCTCCACAGGATTTTTCTCAATCCTGTACTGGCACTACATTTAATGTAAATCTCAACTTTACCTGTTTTTCTCAAAATATATTTTATAGGATCTAAAAACAAATTTCCTCTAATGCTGGGGAGATCATTGCAATATCATATAAATTTTTGGATGAAAATAGCAGAATTGCTTTATCTGACTGAAATTTTATGTAAAAATGAAATCAGTATTCTCTTAAGAAAATTATGTGCCAACCTTTTTAATGATCCTAATAATCATTCTAAAGGCCAAATATCATAGATCTCCAATTCTGGTTTTTCAATCATCTGTTTCTTAAAAATGCATGTAAATGTAGAACATTATGCAAAATTATATTATAATTTTAACATGGAGACAGTGGTCAAATTCCCTAAAACAACAGGTTGCAGCTTTGATAAAAACAACCCGAGCAAATCGCTTGTTGCCTTATACTAGCAAATGCCCAAAAGTAGATATGCTAAACTAAACACATGTTCATCTCCCTTTACATCCTCCGATCACAGGGCTTCAAAATCCAGAATATATTCTTCCTTTTTACCCCCTGCGATAGGCAGTTAGCATTTCCCCGATTAACCTCTTGAATTCCAGGCTCTAAAATTGGCATGAAACCAGAGAATTTTTCATTTTTTGCCACCTTTTGACATTTTATTACATACCTATACAACTTTAGATGCTTAGCTTAGTAAAATTGGACGGCAAAGATCATTTCTACACGTTTTAAAACAATTTTTGTGTAAATTGGATGAAAATTGTTCAAATGAGAGCAATTTTTGTGAAAAATTTTGTGACGGATTTTCTCGTCCCTCTGGGCACCAGTCTTATTTCATTTGTGACGGATATATCCGTCACTCTGGGTATTCAAGAGGTTAAGAACTCGCAATCTGATTGGCTGTCGCAACCCTTCGACAGAAATCATAATAAGTCATTGTGCATAATTAGATCACGTGATTCAGTTTAATCGGGGGTTCCAAATTGGTTATAGCAGGGGGAAGAAGGAGGTATGGATTCTGGACACATGCTTAGGAGGATGCTCTCTTTAAGCCTCGTCTTAATTTGTTGTTACGTTTCCAGGTATGAAGGCTGTTGGCCTGCAATAGCAAGAGACACAAGTGGAATCATCTTTGTGTACAATGCTGATGTTGCTTCTCATGAACGGGAACTAGAATCTTGGTGAGTGTAATTTCAATCCACTTTTCAAATAAAAACGCTGCAGAGCACTGACCATATATAATATGTATCTATCACTCAAAATCAGTCAGTTTAATGTGTGTCTTAGAACTTTACAATCTTTTTTTAAATTTTTCCTTCTCATCCCTCCCCTACATACCCCTCACCTACACACAGAAGAGGAAGTAGATGGAGGGGGGGGGTCAGAGAAAATGAGATTTAGGATCCATAGTCATAATGCAAGATTACAGGTTTTCTTCATAAACCTTTTTGAAGATGCTTAACCCATAAATAAAGATAACCAAAAGATGGCTCCAACTACAGTAAAACCTGTATATTTGAACACCTCTCAATATGTGAACACTTTTTCTGTTCCATTTTCTAATCTGCCACTTATAGAGGTTCATTTAACATGAAGTAAGTTGTTCTTGGGACTCTTAAAGGTGTTCTACCAACAGAGGTGTTCCATTTTACAAGTTTCACTGTATTATTGTATCAAAAAACTTTGAAATGTGAACACCTGCCAATCTGAACACTTTTGGCTTGTCCCAGTAGTGTTCAGTTTAGATAGGCTTTACTCTATGTTTTGTTCTTAATATGTTGTTTTGTTTTGCAGGCACTCTGCATTTGTCCAGAACCAGGGCATCAAGGAAAATCAGTGCATTGTTGTGGCTCACCATAAACCAAACTCAACTGATAAAAACAGAGTAGCTCTACGTAAGTTCAGTTTGGTATTTCTCATGAAAAGTCTTACTCGTCTTTGATATTTATGAAAGCATGAATTTAACACACTATTGGCATTTGCAGTAAGTGTGAGATTTGTTGAAATACATTCAATGAACTGGGAATTAATTCAACTATTTGGAAGCAAAATTTGTTTTAAATGGAATATTGTATCTAGACCCATACCCGTAGCCAGGGGGGTTCAATGGGTTCCCCCTGGCCAAAAACTCTTTCAAAATCATGCAATTTTCACCATTCTGAGCACTTTTTTGAAGTAATTTAATAATTTTGGGCCCAAATTATCATTTGTGATCTCCCCCTGGAATTTTTTAAAAAGTGAACTCCCCTTAAGAAAAGATGATTACGGGCCTGATATCCTCAACGTAGGCAATGACCCCTTTGGGGTGTTCTACTCCATTGCTTGAGGAGAAAATTTGTTAAATTGAGAATCGCCATGAACTCGTACTTTTTTTTCAGCCAGTCAGTTTCTAAAGATGCCGAATATCCATAGCAACATAGAAGATGAACCAGACAATCTCCGAGAAGAGTTCAAAAAGTTCATGGCTAATCTACTGACTTTGGTCTCTGCTAAGCGGGAACAGGATGAGCTTAACATCATGAATAATAGATAGATGGAGCCTGTGTTTTTATATTTATGACATCACAAAATGGAGCTGGCGCATCATGAACTTACATGTATATATTAAACATGCATTTGTGATCTGACTTCTAGAGATAAATCTCATTAAATGTACAGTAAAACCTGTAGAGTGGAACACCTCTAGAAGTGAAACACCTGTTAGTGGAACACTGACTGAACACTGACATAGGTTAACTGCAATGTGTTCCACTTAGACAGGTTTTACTGAATATTTGTGATCTTTTGTAAATACAGTGCATGGATAGCTATAGAGGATACAGGAGCACATTCATTCAATGAATGAAACTTCATTCTAAACATACTTTAGGAAATTATGTCCCATAGAGGTTTGCCTTGCTATTTCAATATTGCCTCCATTATTTTTGGATTCTGGCTACACACCTGAAATTATATTTTCCTGAAAAAGTAAATTGATCAAGAATTCCTCCAGTCATCTTGAACGATTACAGAATATATTACATATCATCGGAGCATAGATAATTCAAGGATGTGAATAAAAGAACAAATGTACATATAAAGATTATAAATTGTTTATTTCAATAGAAATATATATTTATTAAATATATGAGATACATATAATATTATATTATAGTTTTGTGAATGTGGTGTGAAGTATTGTATTATACAAATATGCATCACTGATACTAAGTCTACTCTACAATTCTCAGACAATATATATTCACTTCTGTTATGTCTACTGAATTGTAAAAATTTAGTTAAGAGCAAGAGATTTGTGTACTCAAAACATTTGTGTACATAGTAACATAGAATGTTCAATGCATGAAGTAAGAAAGAGACCAGGCATTAACATGCAAAATGTCACCACCTGCTATTTGTTACGACAAACACCAACTTACAAACACCAAAGACCAGCCACTGTTCATAAAAAGTTGGGGACCGTAACAATATGTCATCATTTCTGGTGGTGACATAAAAACTAGAAGATTTAGTGTTTACTTGGAATGTATTGCACAGACTTGTGTAAAAGATTAAAAGATTAAAATATCAAAACCTAGAAGCACCATATCAAAGAGGGAACAAAGAATGTACAAAATGGCCTATTAAATTTGTACAGTGTAAAGCTTGAGAGATTCTTTAATCAGGGTTCACTACTAAAGTTGAAAACATGATTGCCTCAATATCATCATATTGGATCCAGTACATTTTCATGAGGCCACTCATTGTTGTTGTTCATTGCCAAGAGCCAAAAGTGATTGCCATATAAGGTAGTCAGGCAATTATTAGTTTCAAACTCTGATTCTAATGTGCCCATATTTTATGAAATATCTACATTTTTGTTGTGCATCTTCTTTTGGATTTGATTTGGATTTAAATCTTAAAGGCTTGCCTCAAACCACACCAACTTCTCCATATACTTATTGAAAGCTTAACAGAACCTTCATAAAATTGAGAATTCTTAAATTAATTGTTGTTACCATGGATAAAATGACATCACAGTAAGAGAACGATGGACTTTACGAATGCTTAACTTTACAAAGTTTATGTTAAATTACCCCCTTATAAATGAACATTAATCATAGTTTGGCTTCACAAAGATGGTTCATGGTACATGAAGCTTTATAGTTTCCATGAGTGTGAAGTATCTGATAGAGATTCCACAAACTCATTATATACAGTACAATAAGGAACTACAGTGTACATGTACATGCAGGCCCGTAGTCAGGAGTAGGGGTTCAGTGGCTCAAGGCCCTCTGGCTAAAACTTCTTTCAAAAATCTTTTTCACCATTGTCAGATCAATTTTGAAGTAATTTCATCCAACATTGTCAGATCAATTTTGAACCCCCCCCAGAATTTTTTAAAAACTGAACCCCCCTAGCAAAAGCTGGCTATGGGCCTGGCATGCTTACATCAGTATCAAAATCTCTAGATATTACAAGCTGGTTTTGATTGGTTGTGAACAAGAGATACAGTTTTCTAGAAGTACTCTGGCAACGTCAATTGCACTAAGTAAGTAAATGATGTGTATAGATATTTCAATATTGCACACAATTAAATGATATAATCTGCAATAATATCATGTCATACAACATACACACAGAGTGGGCCATATTTATGAACTTACAAATAAGATCTTTAAATAGCCCACTTTTTACAGTATAAAAATTCCAAAAAGCAGGTTGGTTAAAGCGTTTATCAATCAAACTTTTGGTTAAAAATACAAAAAACAATATTTACATTGAGCACATCTGCAAAACACACCTTTTTACAAGATATTAACAATTCAATTATCTATTTCCTACAACTTACATTTAGCAATTTTAATAATCGATAATCATTTGCATGACATTTCTATATATTTTTTTATTGTATATTGGCCATTTCGCTTTAGCCAAATATTATAACTATATCAATATCTAGGGTTCCAATGAAAAACAACTATATAACTGATGAGAGGAAATAGACTGGCAAGAAAATGATACTATGTCAATAATTCAATGTCAAAGCATATACCATATAATTAATTACATTTCAATACTATCCTCCCTCATCTCAGGTGAATCTCTCATTGAAAATTTCACACTAAAAGTGCTTTCTTTTGAAAATCGCTTTTAACATAACATAATGGACACTTGCCCCCTCCCCAAATGTAAATAATTATGTGTGTTGACAGATATAATGACCTTGTCCCTTATATCTACCAGTGGTTCAGCAACAATCAACAATTCAGTAGCTGGTTGATCTAGTACATGATACAATAAACCTTTAGATTATCAAAGTGTTTGACAATTGGTTTTCTTATATAAAACACTAATTTATGAGAGACTAAATAATTTACCCAGAACAGTGGATTACGTTATGTGGGTATCAAGGGTGAATGGATAATACAATTTTTTTATTATGCGGAATGATCCATGTTATCTTAGTTTAATACATGTAGATACACATTCTCATTTTAAAAATACAAAAATGTACAATTCCTTGCAGAAATCCTATGCTTTCTTTATACTAGGAACCCAGAATCTATTAAAGATATCCAAATTAGTTGTAGATACTTTTTTTTCAAAGTTTCGGCAAATTTCTTATGCATTAACAATATCTTCCGCAATCTACATAGCACCTATATCTCGTTAAAGCATTCTTCAATATTATTTCAGTGAAATCTGGCATTATTCTTGAACTGTGGAATTATTATTTTCTGTTATAATTATGTCAGTTTTCGAAACAGTTTGATGGTCAACATCCTTCTTATCTCCTTGTGTATCCTTATCTAGATTGATTAAGTTTTCATCAGGAGTTTGACTGATGCAATCACATATTTTGATGATGTCATCACTATTTGTGCTCATGTCATCACAAGTTATGATGATGTTACTACAATTTGACAGTTTCTCTTTATCACTAAGAGAAACCCCGTTTAAATCTGTTGGCACAATTTTAGATTTCTCACCAACTCCTTCCTCACTTACAGCAGTTTTATTTGAATCTTGTTTTAGCCTCAATTTATCTGGCATTTGTAAAACGATAGATGAAACTTGATTTGTTTCTTCTGATTTCTTATCTTCATTGATGGAATCCAAAAAAGTCCCCTTGGAATCTCTTCTATTGAGCTTTTTGGAACCACTTGAATTGTCCTGGTCCTGAGATGTTGTGGTTTTATTTGGTGAGATTTGTAATGGTTTTAAGGGGTCTCCTTGTAGTTCAATTGGCAGACGGATGCCTGACTGTAAGTGCAGTTGTAGCGCCTCTAACCACACATGAACCTCTTCAAAATCTGGCCTATAATACACCAAAAATTTAAAGGTTAGGTGTTATTTAAATATTTTTCTTAGTAAAATCAATTACATTTGAAGATCATTTAGGCAAAATAAAAATACTCATTTTAACATTTTTTTATTGTTCTTTGTACTGATAAATGTTTTATGCTTATCACACATTCTATAATAACAGATTCTTTGATAAAGGATCAGATTAATGGAAAGTAGGAACTTCATGCAAGTATTTCTCGGCTATAAGACATTTACGTGGACAATAACATTTTTATTTTGATGAAACTTGTTAACACAAGGGCTTATTTAATACCCGGGGCTTAAGTTGTGTACTAAACGAAACGACACAACATCCGGGGTTTTTTATGATCTGCATTACACAATAATATAATAATATTACACAGTATACGGTAAAAGGCCGAATGCCGAATACATTGAAATTGCGAACGAGGAACGTTCCGGGTGTTACGTTCGCCCTTAGTTAACATGTCATTGGCAGACTCAATTAGCTTCCTAATATGAAATTATTGAGCAAGGCATCAACACGCAAAAATGTCACCAAGCTCAATTTGTTTTAGACACAGAACCCAAACCACCAAACACCAACTACCAAACCCCACTTCTGGTGGTGACATAATAAACTTACCTAGATTCAGGTAGAATCTGACAACACATAACAGCTATCTTGAAGAATCCATTTGGGCAATCTTGGCAGAATTTACGTTGAAATACCTCTGTGTTTAAACCAAAGTCGTGTCTACGTGGTAGATAGTCTGGATCAGCCTGGACTCTTCCAATGATCTGAATAAACAAGACACACAGGAAGCATGGATAATGGGAAGTTCCATTTAAGTACTATATAGGAAATGTACTCTAAATGCTGTAAAGTGGAACACCTCTGTAAGTGGAACACCTCCATAAGTGGAATGCTTGTCAAAGAAGTTCCACTTACACAGGTTTTACTGTATTTGTTGTTATAAAGGGATGACTGGTCACTCTGTAACTATAGCCCTTTGAGGAGCAAAATGGCCACAATGTAATTTTCCATCATTTTCTGATCAAAGGAGTTTTTACATCACCATAATTCAAAAGTTGATCACTTACTTCACATAAAACTATTCCAAATGAGAATAGGTCGACTTTCTCATCGTACAATTTCCCGCACATCATCTCTGGTGCCATCCAATAGGGGCTCCCCACCACTGTGTAGCGCTTTTTACGTGGTCTCTTTTTGCCCATATTTTGGCTTCTTGGGCTGGTCGGAGGTCCCTCCGTTTTATCAAATGACCTAAAATGTCAAAAATACGTGGCAGTTATTTTTTGATGGAGTAAAGGTTTTTGAAGTAATTATAATTACTTTTAGTAATATTTCACTACTTGGATGTGTACAAGAAAACACTGTAGCACTTTGATAAAGTGTGATAAAAATATGTGGGTGTTGAATTTTAATGCAAGTTGACGAGAAACAAGAGTATATTTTTTCTAGCCTTATTCCTTAATCCCTTCTCACCTGTTGCAATCCCAAGAGCGTCTCTGGTCGTCCCTAGTGATCATAATCCTAGCAAGTCCAAAATCTGCCACTATCACTGTGCCATCCTAGAATAGAAATTACTAGTGTGATCAGTGCTCTAGACCACTTGGGCCAAGTTGATGAGCCACCAAAAAAGATTCTTGCAACAGCTAATCTGACTAGAGGTAACAGATGTTAACCCTAAAAAACACCTGAGGTAACAATTAACTGTCCTTAAAATCCATTTGACATACCTCTTTAACAAGACAGTTTTGTGAGTTGAGATCTCTGTGTATAATATCCATAGAGTGAAGGTATTCCATGCCAGCTGCTATATCAGTAGCAATCTTGATCCTGTCGTCGTATTCTATGACCTGATCCATGTCCTGTAGTAAATCCTTTAGGGTACCACATGGTATGTATTCTAAAATAAGTATGGAGTGATGGCACAGGTATTACATGAAACACACCAAATTGGCACAAAGCTGCAAATCCTTTCAATATTATACTATAATTAAGGACATCTAGGGTTCAATGTCAGTTTCCATGGTAACGGGTGCAATTTTCAAACTGATAACCTAACACGGGTATTAGTTAAGCAACATAGCTTTCCATTGGTACCATTTTTTCCAGAGGATCAGCAAACTTTTATTAATCTCCTTAAATAAGGGTTAAATTAATTTTTTCCATTCAAGTCTTTAAAACAACATTAATAGAAAACAATGACAGGCCCTTAGCCATTTTCAAATTCATTGTAGATTCTCACCTGTAACCAAATTCAGCTTCTTGTCTTTATAGAGAACCCCTAAGAACTGGAGCACATTTGGGTGATTTAAACTCCTCAACACAGACACCTGGAAATAAGCATTTTTTACGTTCTCTGTTTAATTCCATTTAGATATTATAGAAAGGATATACAATGACCAAAGCATTACAATATTAGTGGCGTACTTAGTAAATCAAATATGACATTAAACAAAACTGAAGCATCAGTCACATTTGCTCTATGGTGGCTGTAGCTTCACCAAATTGATATAAAAAATCATACTGCTCATCCCTATAAGTTATGTTGCATATTTCTCTCGATTGTGAGAAGCTATGGCCGCTGTACGGTTGCCGAAGATCAAAAGTGACTTAGTGTTAACAGTTTTTTAAGTTATCTGACATCAAATTAACACTAACCTCTTTGAGGAAATTATTGTGAGCCTCCTCATCAAACTTAAACAGTTCCTTGATCACCATCACCTCACCTGTCACTCTATGTGTCACCTAACAAATATGTATAAACAAAAATTACTGATACAATTGGTTTAGAGGAAATATACAACATGGCAAATCCAAACAAGGCATTAAAATGCAAAATGTCACCACCTGCCATTTGTTACAGATGCGAAAAGCCAATCGCCGACTGCCAAAGTTGGACACAACAATATGTCACCACTTCTTGTGGTATCGTTAAAACAAATAAATTATAACATACTACAGACCATGGTGGAAGGACAAATTGTAGTTCATCTACTCTAAGCTGCCTTTACCAATCAAACAATAAATGCATACTATTTTTGCTGATGGCTGCTTTATCGATAAAAGATGGTAGATGAGCTGAGGTTTATGGTTTGCACTTTATAATTCAATTAACATGCAAAATGTCACCACCTGACATTTGTTACAGATTACAAATGCAGAACTGTCCACAAAATAGTTGGAGAATATGTTACAATTTTTTTGCAGGTTACCTTGACTGCTTGTCCAAAAAAGCCTTTTCCCAGCACCTCTCCTGGTATGAGATCACTTGCCCTAAATACTCTGTGTGTCAGTGGTTGGTGCTTGAATGATTGAGTTCTACTGATTCTCTTGTCTTTATTCTTTGGTGTAGGGGACCTCGCTGTGGGAGACCTACATGGACTTCTGGAAGTGAACAAATAACTTGGAAATTGATGGTGTTTGAAAACTTCTACTGATTTTCTTAATTTGGAGTACATATATGACTTAGGAGGATAAAAAATGTTTGGATTCTTTTGCTTTATTTCTTTGAACTGATACCACAGAGTAAATGTAACTACCTTTCAAACTAACTACCTTTGATCTCTTGGTGGAAAAGACAACCTCTTCATGCTACTTACCCTTGATGTTTGAGAGGCAGAAAAAATGACCTCTGTTTTTTATATTGTGTTGTATTTTATTTACCATCATTGAAGGTGAGCAATACCTCTTGGGTGTATCCTGTATATTAATGTTGTCGCGATTAATCGATACATCGCGATATACATCGCCAAAGATGGTTTTGGCAATGCATCGATGTCTGAAACAAAACATCGATGTTTTTAAAAAAATTTAATTTGCCCTTCTTACCTTATTTTGACGCAAATTGTTTTCCTTTTTTCATGTCTTATTTCATTTCCCAGTGTTTTCTGATATTCTTTCGCTTTAAAACTGTTTTAGCTAGACGAAATGAACCATTAATCTAAAAATATATACTTTACTTTCATTTCACCGTTACTAGAATTCCCGGATGTAGTAGCCTACTCTTATTAATTTGTTCTGTTCGGTATTTTAGCGCATTAGCGTTCGGTATTTCAGTGCACTTTTCTCGAACTTTTTCTCGATGTACATCGCGATGTACATCGATGTTTACTACTGAAAATTGCCGATGCATCGAAGTACGATTATGGCACATCGCGACAACACTACTGTATATATACTGTGTAATCAACACATGCTTGACATCTTGGAAGTAATGAGGACCTCTTTTCGTACTTACACTTGATTTCTAGGTAGAGAAGAGGACGTCTCCTTCTTACTGACCCTTGATCTCTGGGTAAGGAGACCTCTTTCTTATGTATCTTAGAACTCTGTGTAAATGAACTACACTTTCTAAGCTATGCTTGTTCTCTGGGTAGATAAAAGGACCTCTCTTACTTATCTTGATTTCTGGGTATATAAAATGACCTCTCTTACATACCCTTGATCTCTGGGTATATAAAATGACCTCTCTTACTTACCCTTGATCTCTGGGTGTATAAAATGACCTCTCATACTTACCCTTGATCTCTGGGTATATAAAATGACCTCTCTTACTTACCTTGATTTCTGGGTATATAAAATGACCTCTTTTACTTACCTTTGATCTCTTGGCATATAAAATGACCTCTCCTACTTACCCTTGATCTCTGGGTATATAAAATGACCTCTCTTACATACCCTTGATCTCTGGGTATATAAAATGACCTCTCTTACATACCCTTGATCTCTGGGTAAATAAAACAACCTCTCTTACTTACCCTTGATCTCTGGGTAGAGAAGATGATCTTTCTTTTCTCCTCCTCATCATCACTCCATCAGGCATGTCTGCAACATACAATGCATATACGCTGTACTTGTATAGCAGGCCATAATAATTCCTTTACGTAGATATACCCAACCTCTTTTACAATATAGGCAAGCCTTGGAAAGGCTCTATTTATGCAAGAAAGAAGGCAATCTTGACATGATATGGCCATAGATTATGTATCAAATACTTCATTACCATAGTAACTTTGTAATTATGTCACAACTGTATTAGTAAGATGAATTTCGTGGAATTGAAACACAAACGAAACAAGATTACCATGTTAATTACTATACAGTCATATAGAGAAACTTATTCATGGTATTTGTATTTGTACATTGTACTACATTTAAACTTGAAAATTTGAACACACAGTTGATTTCCTTTCTTTGACACCTATAATGTTATAATTAAACCCTACTACAGTGAGCTCATTGAAATGTGAGGCCCTTTAAAAGCATTTAATAACAGAGTTGTAATATATTTTCATTATGGTACTTTAATACATTAAACACTTAAATATCCACCAGTTGACCCTGGAAATGTAATATTTATGGATTTCAACATGTTGATGTTAGCCATTGAAGTCTTTTTACAATTTATGGCTCAATTTATAGTTTTTTGGTGTTTTTCTGGTATTACCCCTTGTGCTTTAATTATAGCTATCATTTATATAATCACAAATCACCTGTAAAATGAAACACCTCTGTTTAGAACACCTCCAATGTTGAACACTTTTCTGAGGTACCAAAGGTGTTCCATTTGTGAGGTTTTACTGTTCATAAATCAAAGTGAAATACTATGATTGCCCTACCTGTAGTTGGTGATACACACCCAGGGCTAGGAGGATCCACAGGGAGGGTCTCAGAGCGTTGTCGTGGCAACTGGCCTGTGGGGGCAGGAGATGGTCCTCTTTCAATTGTCAGTGTAATCACCTTGTCATTCTTTATTAACTTGTCAATCTGCAACCAAAAATACATATTTTTTTAATTTCTAAAGGCGCCAAACTTTTACAGGCTGTCAAGGTTCAACTTTGTTCAGATTTGGCAATCTTTGAAAAAAAATTTTAATCTGTCAATCTTTAAGATATTTTTTTGTCAATCTGAAAAAGGTGTTAAAACCTGTCAATCTTGATCATTTTGAAGAATAAGATATTCAAAAAAGGTTAATAATTTGAGAATGATTAAAGTAGTACATACAGAAAGAATATTACCAGTAAGTTAATAACTTAAACCAACCTGCATTGACATGATTTTAATTATCAACAATGAGGAGTTAAAACATATGTACTGTAACTAACATATAATAGCCATGACACACAGTTTTTGAATGTGAATATTTATGCTGCACATATACTTTAAACTCTTAGCAGTCTGCCGACGACTTATTTCTCAAAAGCAGACATTCCCTGGGGTCTGCCGACGGGATAACTCACACTTTAGCTACTTGGGGTTATGCTTAAGTTCATTTAGAAACAAAAAATATGCATTGTTTTGATAATGCGTAGCCAACACTTGATGACCAGATCAAAAATATATTGTTTTGTAGCCTAAAATTTTACATTTAACGGTTACTATGGTCAAATTGTCCATTTTGCTTAGACCAGGGCAGCAAATACTGGGATTTTGTTTAGACTGCAAAGAGTTAAAATGCAGGTTGACATGATCATATTTCAAGAGCTTAGAGGAAGCATGTAGGCGCAGGTAGATGTTCTATTATCTATAATAGTGGAGGTCTCTTGAGCTAAGGTAAAACCACCAAAACATATGTATTCCCGAATGAATGTGATGTCATTATGCCTTAAGGCCACAAGGACTGTAACAACATCAACTCAGGTTTATTGAGGCCCATCAAAATGTGTATTAAAAGATTTTAACATTCTACATGTATTTAACATTAATATAATACAGGTATAAGTCTTTAACTTACCTCATCAAAACGCTGGTTCCTGATTGGTTCACCATTTATCTCAAGTATCTTATCCCCCGATTGTAACTCCTCTAATTCCGGACTTGAATCATCCACTCTGAAAAAAATATTAAGTCATTTTTTTTCATCTGTCTTAAACAAGTCTATAGTCTAAAAGTACTTATCTCACGAACAATCGTAATCTGATTCCAGAAATTAGACCACCCTTTGATTTTGCATATGAAAGATGGCATCATCTAGACTCTTTGAATGTGATATAATCTTTTACCAAATCATACCCAGTCAGTGGGTGATCAAAATTGAATTTTGTGCTTTAATCGGGAGATTGTGGGTTAGATTAACACCTGGAAGATTAAGCGACTTTTTCACTCCAGCCCTTAACATAGGATTTGATCCTGTTTCATTTTTTATTTCGACTAACTTCATCAGTACGTTCAAAATTACAGTCACAGAATTTTATGCCCACAAAACTAGCTGGCACTGAGAGGCAAAGTGACAGCTTCAAATGGGATCATTAAGATCAAAACTATAAAATTTTCTTCCCTAATCAGAGCGTGGTAATTAGCCTATGGATGTTAGGGTACAAATTGGGTGATGTTTGTTTGTACAAAGATTGTAGGAAGCAAAATTGTCTCCAGCTTTTAGCTAATGATTAATACATACACATTAGTCATAACATGTACATGTTTTAATAGTTTTCACATGAAAGTAAAGTTTAAATGTAATTAGTAAGCTTCCGAATTAGCATTCCCTCATCAATTATATGGATATAATGAAACCAATTACATGGATACAATGCAATCAATTATATGGATATAATGAAACTGTCAAAAACATTTGATGCTAGAATACAGGATTGAAATTAAAGGGTAATTTAATGTAATATTTCAAAGCCATCCTGACCTTTATAGAGAGCTCATAATACAAAATCCATGATACAAAGTCTGGTAATCTAGGATTCTAGGATTTGTATCAAGTGATAACTCTTTTAACACAAATTGGCTAAATCAAGAATACTGAATATATTCAAAACCAGGGATGTGGGATGGGGAAGCATTAGTTACATTTGATTCCTTATTTTGGTGAGACTCATCATGTTTCCAAAGAAGGCTAATTTTGAAGCACATTTTTTTAAAATGAGGCTCACTTTTAGATCCGAAAGAGAGATTCTAAAAATCAGTTTTTGGGCCCTAAGAGGGAAGGGTGCCACATCCACCAGTGATATGAGCTCAACCCTCAACGTTAAATGTTCCTAGCAAGGGGGGGGGCTCTTATTGTAAGAGGGAGGGGCTTTAAGTGTAGTGATCACTTACTATGATATTCTGAAGACAGGGGAAGGGCTCTAAGTACGTTCCCTAGCAAGGGGGGGGGGCTCTCAGGGTAATGATCATTTACTGTGATATTCTGAAAATGGGGTGGGAGGGGCAATTCTCATGTTCCCTAGCAAGGAGGGGGACTTTTTTTAAGGTATTGACCACTCACTTTGATATTCTGAAGACAGATTTGCACTGGTTGCTGTTATTCTCTGACTGCCTAGAGTACCTCCTCTCCCTTGGACTCAAATAACTGCTCCCCCTATTCCTTGTCTGGGTTGCCTCTAGGGTGAGTCCACTCTGTCTGTCAGGGGTGATAGGGAGCTCCACCAGCTGTATGCAGTGGAGGGGTGGTTGGTCAGGGGGAGTTTCTATTATCAATGGCTTCATACTTCTCTGGTAACATTGCCCACTGAAGAAATAAAAACAAAAATTTAACTAGTTCAAACAAGTTACTTGGGATTGAGTAATCTTTTACAATTATACAATGCATTAAAACCAAGGAAACATTGTGAGAGGAGGAAACTTTCACTATTCAACTTATGTTTTTCTATTAATTTGCTTTTAATATTGCTGACTCAAATCATTTCAAATGAAAAACTGAATATCTATAGTGTGTGAGAATCATACGGATGAGACTTAGCCTACAGCTCATATTGCTAAAGGCAACTTAGTTCAGACACACATTCCTATACAAAGCTAAGTTGCAATGTCAGTACAGATTGGACTCAACACTGATATTTTATTTTAAAAATGTAAGAACATTATTTTATCCTAGACTTACCAATAAAGTTTAGATCTCTCCAACAGGACATATGTCTCCCCATCTCCTATGTAACTTGTGCACTGGACGCAGCGGAAACACTCTGGGTGATACCTGTGTTCACCAGCAACCTGGACATGAGAAAACATCATTGTAATAGAGAGTTAAACCTGTGGAACCCTTGTGGAACACATCTGTAAGTGGAATACTTCCAGAAGTGGAACACTTCAGAGTCCCATGATCTACTGATCTAATGTTAAATGGACCTGTGTAAATAGAACATTTCCTTAAGTAGAAAAACAGTCTTGCGATTTTAGCAAAATTGAAAAAAGCGAGAAATTAAATCATATGCAAAAAAGATAGGGAGCACAATATTTGCTCTTATCTGGCTGTTTTTATAAAATCTGCAAAAAGTCACTTGCTGTTTTGAAGAAGTTTTCAATAATTTCGCTTGATGTTTACATTTGTTTTGCTTGTTTTCCAAAATTCTGACGGAGTATCGGAAATCAAGTCAATCAAAGGGGAACATAAGTGGAATTAATATGAGCCAATATATATTAAACATTTCTGTAAGTCCGCGATTTAAGCATGTGAGGAAATTGTGCAATGACAAGTGTGTCAGGCACATGGTGTAAGTTGTCGGAACAACCAATAATTGCCAAATTGAGTTTGTTAATTTGATAGTCATAACTGAATGCAGCCTCATTATTCTATGTTTATAGAACATGTCTGTATCCAATGGGGTGAGGGCTCTGGATGTGAATTCAGTACTATGTCACAGAGTGATTTAAAGTATGTGTACAAATAATATAAAGATCCCTGGTCATAACTAAATGGCATATGAGAATTTCCATATTCACATTTTTTTGCAATTTACATTTCCTTAAAAAATTGCTTCTTGATAATTTCTTAGGTACAAACTGACATAACCTTGGACAAAATTAGCAAAGTTTGGTTGAGATTAGCAGAGTGTGGTCAAAATTTCAATTTTTCGAAATCGAAATAAGCATTTGGGGAACGTTTCCAATTTCCCTGTAACATTAGAATCCTCCTCTTTGTACTTTAACTCACCATAACAGGGCCTGTGATAAGGTTCGTGCATCCATTACATAACTCCCCAAATATCCTCCAGTAGTCATCCTGGCAGTAGAGTTTGCCATGCTTCTCAAAGTACCAATCTGTGAGACACGTCTTGCATGAACAACACCTGTAACAGAAAAAAAGAAAAATAAGAAATACTATTTCACTGGCAATATCAGGAATCATAATTGGAATCCATTCTAATCAATGTCTACACATAGTGATGTATTCATGTACTCAGGATCTTTTCTTGGCAAATGCCAAATTCTCATTTTCACAATACTGTATGGTTCTACTCATTTTCAAGTAGGTGCACTGCTCTCTTGCTTTTATACTGGGCATTCACATATGAATGTGAAAATCTCACAAATTAAAAATTACTTAAGTTACTACACTTTTGAATTTTGGAACTTCATGAAGTACCTAGAACCTCAGTAGGTATGGAATACATCTGTTATGTATGGTCAGTTTTGGATACAGGGTTTTTCCAAAGGGAAATATGTGTATCTTCCTTGGGATAAACCCTGTATCCAAAATCTCCCAGTACATAACCCTTATACATGTTATGCATATAATCTGCTTTTATAAATGTCATGTACACATAAACTCCTACAAACAGATTTACATACTTTATAGGTCTATAATATTAAACATGTAACAACTGTTACATCTGTCACAAACATGTCATTAACTTTAATATTGAGCATGACTTTGGTTCCATATAAAACGACATGTCATTACAATCATTTGTTCCAACATATTGCTTGTTTGTTTGTCTATTTGCTTGTTTGCTCTATTTGCTTGTTTGTTTGGTCTTTCTAGCACTTCCATTAAGTGTAAAAATAGTTTTACAAATAGACACATAATATCACTAAACTCTATTATTAGACAGAGCCTTACCAAATCTGTGTCCCACATCTACGACATTTATTCCTCTTATGCGGCCTAGACCTCCTTTCTGCTTTCTGAGACATTTTTACAGCTAAATAATCCAGTTGTAAAGTTTGAATTATATTACTCAATACAACCCAACTCATTCAATCTTTTCCTATTGACAACTTTTTTCCTAATTAGTAAAATCTATATCATAGTTTTTGTATATGACCTTTCACTTATATTATCGATATTTAATTAAGTTCTCTAATTGATTTATTGATTGCTATTGTTTTGAATTTCGTGATACAAATTTCCGAAAATAGTTCGTAATTTTGTATGCTTCAGCAAAAGGAGACGTTGACATCACTAAACACCATTCAAATCTAAGCCTACTTTGTATTGTTCGAATACAGAAGTCTTATCTTACTCCAAGGTTAAATTTACTTTGTGATATCAAGTGATAATTCTACTGTAACATCAAGCCTAATTATTCCAGAGCTTACAATTCCAAATAATCCGTATTGTCTATAGTCACAATGTTCTATGTCCCTTGTACTTCAATTCATATTAATACCAAATCTATCGTACATCAGTGATATACTGTCGAAGAAATATTTCAGCCTGAGTCAATTGTCTCGTATTTCCAAGCTTATTAAGTTCTTCAATAATTATCGCAAAATGAAGCTACATTTGAAGAAATATCATGAAGTCAAATAATGATAGCCTTATGTTGTAGATCATTCCAATCAAAGTGAATGTCACATATTTGATCAACTATATAGATGTGTTACCTACACAGATATTTTAATATGATGTAAATTACATGTACAGTAAAACCTGTGTAAGTGGACGCCTCTCTATTAAAAACCTCACTATTTAACTTGTTTGTCAGTTAATTTAAAATCAGGTTCGTTAAAGTCAGGAATAAATTTCATTTGCAAGATAAATTTATTGTTCTCCTTGCAATACTTGCGATAGCTGTCTTTGAAGAAAAAGCGAGTTTTAGTTTTGAACACCTCTTTTATTAATCATTTTATTTGACTTAATTCATAATTTTATACCATATCATCCAATAAAAGGCATTAACATGCAAAATGTCATAACCTACGATTTGTTACAGATGCCACACACCAATGGCCAAACAGCAAACACTAACCATCGAACACCAAATACCATTCACAAAAAAGTGACTTAAAAATTCAACAAAGTGACAAATTGCTAAGTTTCTGATTAATATCTTTACTCAGCTATTTTCCCATTGATGGCCATGTACATTTCAATCGCTTTGTCCCATTGATGGCCATGTACATTTCACTCGCCTTTTCCCATTGATGGCCATGTACATTTCACTCGCCTTTTCCCATTGATGGTCATGTACATTTCACTCGCCTTTTCCCATTGATGGCCATGTACATTTCACTCGCCTTTTCCCATTGATGGCCATGTACATTTCAATCGCCTTTTCCTTTTCCCATTGATGGTCATGTACATTTCACTCGCCTTTTCCCATTGATGGCCATGTACATTTCACTCGCCTTTTCCCATTGATGGCCATGTACATTTCACTCGCCTTTTCCCATTGATGGTCATGTACATTTCACTCGCCTTTTCCCATTGATGGCCATGTACATTTCACTCGCCTTTTCCCATTGATGGCCATGTACATTTCAATCGCCTTTTCCTTTTCCCATTGATGGTCATGTACATTTCACTCGCCTTTTCCCATTGATGGCCATGTACATTTCACTCGCCTTTTCCCATTGATGGCCATGTACATTTCAATCGCCTTTTTCCATTGATGCCGGCCATGTACATTTCACTCGCCTTTATTATTATTATTATTATTATTTTTATTATTATTATTTATTTCCTTATATTGTATAATATTACAATTACATGAAGTGCAAGACCCCCTATTGGGGATATTATCCACAAAGTAGGAAATTACAAAATGAATTGATCAAATCGCCTGTACCTACCCCCTCTCCGAGGCCTGTTCGCTCATATGGTAAGGATATGTAAAATAAAATTTTGCTTTGTGCCAGAATGAAAGCCTTTTTCCATTGATGCCGGCCATGTACATTTCACTTGCCTTTTCCCATTGATGGCCATGTACATTTCAATCGTCTTTTCCCATTGATGGCCATGTACATTTCACTCGCCTTTTTCCATTGATGCCGGCCATGTACATTTCACTTGCCTTTTCCCATTGATGGCCATGTACATTTCACTCGCCTTTTTCCATTGATGCCGGCCATGTACATTTCACTCGCCTTTTCCCATTGATGGCCATGTACATTTCACTCGCCTTTTTCCATTGATGGTCATGTACATTTCACTCGCCTTTTCCCATTGATGGCCATGTACATTTCGTTCGCCTTTTTCCATTGATGCCGGCCATGTACATTTCACTTGCCTTTTCCCATTGATGGCCATGTACATTTCAATCGTCTTTTCCCATTGATGCCGGCCATGTACATTTCAATCGTCTTTTCCCATTGATGCCGGCCATGTACATTTCAATCGTCTTTTTCCATTGATGCCGGCCATGTACATTTCACTCGCCTTTTCCCATTGATGGCCATGTACATTTCACTCGCCTTTTCCCATTGATGGCCATGTACATTTCACTCTCCTTTTCCCATTGATGGCCATGTACATTTCAATCGTCTTTTCCCATTGATGCCGGCCATGTACATTTCACTCGCCTTTTTCCATTGATGCCGGCCATGTACATTTCACTTGCCTTTTTCCATTGATGCCGGCCATGTACATTTCACTCGCCTTTTCCCATTGATGGCCATGTACATTTCGTTCGCCTTTTCCCATTGATGGCCATGTACATTTCAATCGTCTTTTCCCATTGATGCCGGCCATGTACATTTCAATCGTCTTTTCCCATTGATGGCCATGTACATTTCACTTGCCTTTTTCCATTGATGCCGGCCATGTACATTTCACTTGCCTTTTTCCATTGATGCCGGCCATGTACATTTCACTCGCCTTTTTCCATTGATGCCGGCCATGTACATTTCACTCGCCTTTTCCCATTGATGGCCATGTACATTTCACTTGCCTTTTCCCATTGATGGCCATGTACATTTCACTCGCCTTTTTCCATTGATGCCGGCCATGTACATTTCACTCGCCTTTTTCCATTGATGGCCATGTACATTTCACTTGCCTTTTTCCATTGATGCCGGCCATGTACATTTCACTTGCCTTTTCCCATTGATGCCGGCCATGTACATTTCACTTGCCTTTTTCCATTGATGCCGGCCATGTACATTTCACTCGCCTTTTTCCATTGATGCCGGCCATGTACATTTCACTCGCCTTTTCCCATTGATGGCCATGTACATTTCACTCTCCTTTTTCCATTGATGGCCATGTACATTTCACTTGCCTTTTTCCATTGATGCCGGCCATGTACATTTCACTTGCCTTTTTCCATTGATGCCGGCCATGTACATTTCACTCGCCTTTTTCCATTGATGCCGGCCATGTACATTTCACTCGCCTTTTCCCATTGATGGCCATGTACATTTCACTCTCCTTTTCCCATTGATGGCCATGTACATTTCAATCGCCTTTTCCCATTGATGCCGGCCATGTACATTTCACTTGCCTTTTCCCATTGATGGCCATGTACATTTCACTTGCCTTTTCCTTTTACACCAAATTATTTTTTCAAATCAAGATGCTAAAGATGAACACTTTCCCCCTGCCTTTCTATTTCTCCATCAGTAAACACATCTATTATACTACTACACGTCTTTATTAAATCAAACTCATTTTTAACCAATGTTCGCTATAGAGAGGTACCACTGTATGTACCAGGTTTCATTTGAAATCCTAATGAAGTGATTTATGACTAAATATTGTAATGGGAGTGATATTCGGATATAATTGGTCGCTATAAACTCGGAAATTGTCTGATAAGAATCGCAGACATTTTCAATAATTTACTGTCAATTGTAACGAGCCCTGGGTATTCTTAAAACTGCTGTTTCCAATCCGGTTTTATATTACACTATTACACAATATAATATATTATGTCAATCAACCAAATTACAATTTATGATGTCAATCAACCCAAATACAATCTATAATATCAATCAACCAAAACATAATCTATAATGTCAATCAACCCATTTTTACTTATTTAATAAGGGAAACTAATTCACATGGTTGTAAATATATAATGAAACCCTATAAAACACAAGGGCACTTAATTATATTTCCATAGCT